TCAAACTGTTTGGTCATGTGGTCAGAATGGAACAAACTCAGCCAGAAGCTATACCATATTACATGAGAATAGCAGGCTATAAGGCAAAAGGCTGACTGAGAAAGAGATGGGTGGATGAAGTAAGAAAGACACTACAGAAATGCAATATGATATTTACTCAAGCTACGCAAATAGCTAAAGACAAGAAACTATATCTAACTCTTCTCTGTGACTTTTCATGGCATATGCAGTATGATAAAAGAAGAAAAAGAAGAAAATCATAAGAAAGGCATTGATGAGAAGTATCCCAACACCACTTGGACTCAGATTTTCACCAACGGCTCTGCTACAGATGCAGTCAGAAAGGGGGGTTGTGGAATATACATTAAACCCCCTAACAGTAGAGCAGAAAATCTGTCTCTACCAGCAGGTGACATCTGCACTAACTTTAGAGCTGAGGCAACTGCCCTCCTTTCTGCAGTCTAACATCTCATCACTCAAGAATACAGAGGGCACAAAATTGTTATACTTAGTGACTCATTGTCTGTTCTCCAAGCACTATCAAGCAAAAAACAAGACAAACTAATTGCAGATCTAAAGACCAACATTGGCTTACTCTCCAAGGAAGCAGAACTGGTCTTGCAGTGGATACCAGCCCACTGTGGTATTCAAGGAAATGAGAGAGCAGATGAGTTGGCAAAAGCTGGGAGTAATCTTCCACAACCTCATCCACCACACAGCTACAAGGAAACCAAAACAGCACTAAAGCAGTCTTTGAAGTGGGAGCGGAGAAAGCAGAATGGATATTACAGACAAGAGAGTGACAGCATAAACAAACTCAACAGGAAAGAACAAACATCAATTTTTAGACTTCAGACAGGACACTGTGGTCTTCGAGCACACCTGTACAGGATAGGCATAAAAGAATCTGCTGCCTGTGATTGTGGAGCAGAAAGACAGACCCCTGAGCGCATACTGCAGTACTGCCCTAACCTCTCCCAGCAAAGACTGTGGATCTGGCCCAAGGGAGCCACATTGCAAGAGAAGCTATGGGGGACCGGTGGCTACCTTAAATGCACAATCATATTTGTGACCCAGACAGGACTCAATGTTTAGCATGACTGATGTCGAACGCAGAAGAAGAAGAAGAATAAGAAAGGCAGAAAAGTGAACAAAATCTGTCCAATATCATTGTAACTGGTCATGTGTGTGAGTATATATTCTTCTGTCTTTGATCTCTCACTGAATTATTCTTACCCACACAGGACTACAAGTTAACCGGGCTGGCCTAGCCATTACGGGTGCCCTAATTATAACTTCTTTAGAGGTTGAACAGGATGTCTGGAATCTGCCCTGCTGGTCTGTCATTCAGACTGAGACTTTTTCAGGGCAGTAAACCTTCAGATAGCATCCCGGAGGGTTATTTCATTATCACAGAACTCCAAATGCTATGAAAGAACCTCTTACTTCAACCCACACACGTGCTTATATACTGTTAAAAACATAAAGAAACAGTTATCCAATGACACTTTACTTCTCAAATAAAAAAAAAAAATGCAAAGCTACTGAAAGAAACATAATTTTGTAACATTCTGATATTCAAAATTTTTGTAATTTAATTACTGAATCGTACACAAGAATACTTTAGGGTTCAACTAATCAACTGACATTTGTCTGCATCTGGGTCATTGATAGTTTTAAGCGTACTGGCTTTCCCGTAAACTAATAAAACCGTGCCATCCGATAACTATGGGTTTTTTTTCCCCTTTCAAACAGGAAAAGTCTATCAGATAACTGCGGTTTGTGTGTGTGTGTGTTTTTTTAACTTGAAATTTCTAAAAAAAAAAATTCATGGAAATACATTTCATTAGTACCTTCCTTCTGCCAGAATGCCTAATATTGAGTGCCGACCCTCGATAAGTGTGAGCTGATGGAGATCTGCGAGAACCAACAGCTGAAGACATGCCCTGTGCCTGGTTTATGTCATTTTTATCAGTGCCTGAAATGTCCTGCTGAATGCTCTAGATATGAAATGTGAGAATGTTTAATACAAAATTCTATACTTCTATTCTCCTTTGTAAAGATATAACATGAGAGTCTGGGGGAAAAGTAGTAAATATATGTGAGAATTATACATTATATTATTTATAAGTAAAATCAGAAATGGAAACTCTTAAGACTGTTTTCAAATCAAAACGGACACACGTGAGGTTGCAGACCAACACTGATAGAGCGGTGTTGATTTCATCATCATGATGCAGTGACCAGCAAGCTCTCAGTGATTGCACTACCAAAGAGGTGAAGATACACTGGAAAACTCAGTACACAAAGCACCCCCATCTAATGGGTCATCCATCTATTCTTCAAACTACTCAAGAATTTGCAAAGCTTGTATCACCTCGTCAGTCACTTTTGTACTCATCAAGAATCTCACTGGATGATGACTAGCCTTCATCACATTTTGACTGATGAACAACAATGTATCAGAATGTAGTTTGGAAATAAAAACAGCAAAAATGCCTGCTGTAAAGAATATGGCAACAATGTACTACAACATTTATCATTAATCTGAAAACAATTAAAGGTTAAAATAGGAAATGTTTCAGGAAAATGTTTTATATCAAATGTACACTTTTGCTCTTGCAAATCAAAAAAGTTTAGAACTTCTCCTTTTCCTTGTTCTTCTTTTTCTCCTTCTTCTTCCAAGGCTGTAAATAAACTCCGGTGAAAAGTTCTGGTTGTTCGTCCCCTTCTGGACTTTAATCTTGTTCCAGAATCTGAGTTTTGCATGCACATTAATTTTACAGATCCCAATTTTTTTGTATGCAAATGAGGCAGTTTAAAACTGTTACTGCATTATTAGTTACAGCACAACCAATGAATGAAATTATATGAGATGGAATTTTTCAAGTAAGTAAAGCACATAAGAATTAACATCTGAGGGAACATAATTACATATACATACTAGTATTGCTTTTATGTAAACATGCAAAAGTTGTTTTAAAAGTTGTTATGATGAGAAAGAGAAATTTCTGTTCACACAAGAAAGCCAGTTCAGTTTAAATTTTTAAAAATCCTTGTTTACTGCATTATTTTAAATATAAGGAATTTAAATTAATTTTAAAAAACACTTCCAGAATTTTATTTCTCTTAATTATTTATGTGTTTTCTTGTAATGCACACAAATGGCAGAAGTTATGTCTCCAATATAAAATATATCACTGATGACAACTAACCAACACATTGAGAAAACATCATATTTCTTCTTATTCATCAACCCTTAACCCTACCAGACCTGAGGCCCTGAACCTAACTGTCCCTATAACCTGAGCTACTGGGCACTAACACGAAAAAAACCAACATGGTGTACACAAAAATTAGTTACATGCAAACAAGTGGTTAGAATAAGATAAAACTTGGAGACATTGTAGAAAATAGGTTTACCTTTCATTTAGCGCCAATCTTTCACCTTTGTGTGCCAATCCACCTAGTAGGATCAGTCTTGTTTCACAAAGTAAGCACCAGATTTTTCTGTTTGAGGGACACGCCCCCTTCCCTTACTATCGCTCTAGTTTTAAATCTATAATTTTCATAATTCTCCTCCTCACTCTAGCTCTCACTGACTGTGACACTTCAACTGGGAACGTATTCGTCATGAATGTATTCACAGTCTGAATTAACCAAAGTATCAATCACCTGTTGGACTGTGAAAAGCCTAGACCTATGTCACTTTCTTGCTGAAGCCACTCGCTTCATTGTACTCATTTCATTAAGAATTTTCCGAATTTTTTTCACATCAAACCACACAAAGAAATCTCAACACACTTGGGAAGTCATTTGCAATGACTAGCAACAAAGTCTGATGGTGATGGGCTGGTTATTTTTAGTCTGTGACGCATATTTTTCACGTACTACGTAAATTCCCGGAAAAGTGGGCCAGCTGTATAGCGGCAGGTTAGGAAACTCCCGGAAAATCGGGCCAGCGGTCTGGTAGGGTTAAAAGGGTAGCTGACCCATTCTGTTGTAACCCATTCTGACTTTAGGTTGTGATATCTGCGCCTTCCAGCCCACCTCATTAGTCGCCTCTTATGACATTTTTGTTAGGATGGGGGAGGTAGTGGGTCTGCTATTTTCTCCTCCAAAGTGTGGCACTAGAACCCATGAGGGGAGGTACAGAAATCAAAAGCAACATCTTGAAAGTGTGGCTACTCTAGAATTACCACTGGGCTAACATGCAAGCAAGATAGCCATTAAGTGACTGATGAAGTGTTTCAGTACCTTGGGAGAATTAAACCCTGCTTCCAATAATCCCTGTGTGTGTTCCAGGGCCACATTTTGGGAGGAAAAAAGAGAATGGTACAACTCTCGAAAGTCACCACATCTCACCAGCGCTTGATTTCATAGCAGTTTCCATGGGCTGTCCTATGTTGTAGAGGTGACTAGTGTCACTAGTTTTAACCAGTTTAAGAATATCCACCACGCTAATGAGTACAAAAAAAAAAAAGATTTGATACTCCTGAACCGTCACGGGGTGACTTTCGTGAGTAGTACCAGGAGAATATAACCACTGCTCCCCTAATAAGCATGACATAAAAAAGAGGTGTTTCCTTTGAAGTCGGAGTGCATATGCTTGAGAGGTGAGGAACCAACAGTCCACAGACCAGTAAACCTGATCTTATAACGGGTGTGCATGCAAAACTTAAGTTCTCAACATGACAAAAGTCCACACATAGACAAACAACCAGAATTTTCTGCCTGAGTTTACAGCTAGTGAATGCAAAGATAAGGAAGAAGAAGAAGCAGTAGAAAAAAAAAAAGAAGAGGAAGAAGCAGCCATGCACAACATGAATGTAAAATATTAGCATTTCCTAGAAATAAACACGTGAATAAAGTTTTTTTTTTTTTTCCACAGAATCCATGAATAGAACTGTATAACAAAAATAATTATATCTTAGATAATACATCTCTGTAGCCCTAAAATAAGATTTCTGAGGCATCAAGAGTTTAGTCATGACCCTTACCTTTCCCCTAGATTTTCTCTTGTTTAATGCCAAGATCAAAGCCTCTTCATTCTCAACACATTTCGACAGCTCATTCTGGGACATAGTGACCAGGTCTTTGGGATTAATATTCAGATCATCCGCCTTCATCTGTTGGAAAAGCAAAACATCAAATTAGACAAGAAGCTTTTGTACAAGGTGACATTTGTTGGTTGAAATAGTCACAAGGACAATATTTTGAAGACCATCAATAAGTGATGAAATGTGCTCTAAATGTTGTGTATTTTTCTTCTCCTTCTGCTTATTAATTTTCTTTTCTTATTTTTCATTTTCCTTCTTCTGCATTTGTTTTTGAAAGAGCAGTTGGCACGTTGTGTTGTGGTTTATAACCAGTCTGCAATATCTGCACCTTTCGGTAGCACATATGATTTCAGTAAACCCTAGTCATCTTTTATGATATGCTTGTTGGGGGCGGTGGGTCTAACCCTGTGTAGGTTTTAGGACCTCCTTTCGTGGAAAGGGACAGGACCAATAAATTATCTGCTCTCTCTCACAACAACATCATCATCAAGTGCCTCTCTACACAATCTGTGTTTTTTCACAGCATATATCAGTTTGTGTGTTGACACCTCAATGTCATGACAAAAGGCTGTTGAGAATAGTCTATGTCATAAAAAGTAAATATTTAGGTCATGCTGAAATTTGATATTTTGGGCTGAAAAGTGAAGATGCTGAAGTTTTAAGGCAGTGGTATGGAGGAATGTAATCCACAAAAGTGGTCTAGAATACTTAGATCATCAAGAGATATGAACATCTACATCATCTGGCATGGCACATAATGATGATGATGGTGGTGATGAAAAATATATTTAAAACAGAACCGTCATGCCAACCTCTACTTACCAAAACAAAATTTTGGAAAACGTCTTCAATCTCTGGCATGATAGATCTCTGTATCTCCTGCAGTAACTCAGATTTAGGTTGCTCTTTTTCATCAGCAACAAGGGATGTGAGATTTTCATTGTTGAGCTGTACTGGTCTCTTGCTTTGTGGATCCAAATATAGCCTAGCAAAAGATGTTAATGTAAAGTTATATAAATGTAAATATTGTTTCTCTACACCACAATCACTGTAAAATCTACACTTGTGTAAAAGTAAAGTGAAAGACTCCTTTTAACACCTTAGGGTGTACTGGGCATATAGGGCTAGACTAACATTTTTATAGACCAATCAGCACTCGGTGGGTGATGTGGTCATCATCATACCAGCTGCTTTTACTTCCCTGGACTGTACCTCATGCCCATTTAAGGCTGGGTCAATTGAGGGCCAAAGTCATTTTTTACAAAAATCTGCCTCCGTCAAGACCTAAGCCCACAACCTTCTGATCCGCGGGCAAGCGTCTAGCCACTACACCATGGCAGCTCCCCTAGATGTGTGTACAGATGAAAACATTTAAATTTAAAAAAAAAAAAACTATGCTCAGAAAACATACTACATACAGCAGTATAATATGATGTGCATTTTAAACTATTGTAAGTCAACTGTTTCTCCACATTCAACTGGAAAAAATATTGCAAATATGATATATCCACACAATCTTCAAACATTTATAACAAATTTAACTGATTTTCCCAGTATGTTTTACTGAAAGGAGCTATGTACTATTAAACATTTTATTTAATATTGTTTGTTTGTTTGTTTTAATATCCAGAAGCCATGAGTTGTTAACCCTTGGCTTGGTATTATGGATATCACAACCTTTCAGCCTTGATTCCATTGTAAATAACGTCAATCTGGGAGAAAATGTGGCTTTCCTGCTTACCCCTGGGATTGAACCCGGACCACAAGGAGTTCATCACCTGATCTCTGCACAATCCGGTTTAGCCAACTACGCTAGAGAGCCGGGCTTTATTTAATACATATAAGAACTTTTTGAGTTTCAGATTAGTTTTTAGGGTTCAACCCATTATTTTACTCTCTTCACTTCTTAGTCAAAAAAAAAAAAACTTTTTACGTAGCTATGAACTGGTTACAGTTATAAAACAGTAACATGTTAAACAAACGGGTAAATAGCTATGAAGAAAATTATTACCTAATCAGAATAAATAATACTGTTGAAGCTTTTTACTGATAATGGAATAACAATAACAAGACACAAACATAGGAACAAATATGTGAAAATGTTATTATATTTCTTTTATTCATTAATTAATACACATTATAGAAACATAATTCTTTTTCTTTTAGTATGAGCGAAATAAATCTGAAAACATGAAAAAAAAACACACACAATATATACAGCTGAAACCCCAATCCCTGGCAACTCACTTTGTTATGGCTGTAGCCTTGGCTCTCTTCAGTTTTGGATCCTTCAAGTTTAAGTATGTCTCAATATCATTGTGAAGTTGCACTTTATTAAATATATCTCTATGATCATTCTGTTCTTCAGCAACAAACTTGCGGAACATGGACATTAGTCTGAAAGGGCAGATAAGGCAGTAATAGTTACTTGTGTGCATTTAAACAGATTAATATACATTTCTGCAAACATGTTGGCAGATCCCTTTCAAACGCTTGTAACAAGTTTTTGACTTGTATTTGTGTTATTATAAAGAATTAGGCAATTTTTTTAAACCCCCATGTGGGTTCCTGCTCCCATTTGTGGGTGGGAGAGGGGGTTATAAATCCACTGCTCCTAAATTAGCATACCGCAAAAGGTCACTAAGTAACAAATATTCTGATGTTGGATGTTTTGGGCTGAAGGGCACAAATCTCAAAGCCTAGCAGTAAACCATAACATAATGTGCATTACTCTTTCGAAAGCAGAGAAGAAAAAGAAGAATAGATGAAGAAGAAAAAAAGAAGAAGACAAATTAAATTTTACTTTTGTTTAGCTTTTTTTAGTGAAAGCTGATGTGACAGAGATTTTAACAAACAGTTCCACTTCTTTATCACTTATTGTGGCACAAGTGTTGAACTAACTCACATGAAGTTGTCTTCCTCTTATTTTTTTGGGCAGCCAACCCTCTTTGGTAGCCTTCTAAACATGCATGGTGAATTTACATTGCTACTATTCACTACCTTCCATAAGGGACCTGATAATTCACAAGTCTTCTTCTTCTTCTTTTTCTTCGTGTTCACTGGCTATAAACTCTGACGGAAAGTTCTGGTTGTTCTCCCCCTTCTGGACTTTAGTCTTGTTCCAGTATCTGAGTTTTTGTGCACATCTGTTTTACATATTTGGCTTATTCATATGCAGACTGTTTGTCCCTTGCCTCTCAGGCAAGAAATAGTTTTTCTTATGACATGATTGGTACAGGGGCAGTGGGTCTATTCTCCCCATCCCCCAGCTCCACCACAATGGTGCACTAGAACCCATATGGAGATAGAAGACATAAGTGTGGTGTTGGTCTAGATCAATTTAATTAAATCTATTTTGGTATAATTGCTGAGTGCAAACTTATGATCTCAGAATTAACCCTTATTTTATTTTAAAAACAAGTTAATGACATGTTAGAAAAGATACCACTCATTGAAGAGTTGTTAGGAAACCAGTTGTGAATTTTTATTCTAATTAAGTACATGTGAAAGAAGTCAGAAGTCAGACTTAATTTTTTTTTTTTTTTTTACATTTAATGGTGGTAGGTTCTTTAATGAAATCTCTTTTGGCATAATATAATAATACAATGTGATATATCTTCACCTTATTTTTTTTTAACTGAATTTTGATGTGGAATGACAAGCTTTCTTCCAAAGCACCTTTATTTAAAGTTGAAGTAAAAATGTTTTGGCCCTTAATTTATGTAGAGGAGTTAATCCCAGAATCCTACTAGCTGAAAATATGGCTGCAACTTCTTAGGGCTGAACCCTAACAAAGTGTTGGCCAATGCACTGACCACTGTACTGGGGAGGGGGGGGGGGGGGTGTTGACCTAAACAGTGATGACATGGGATCTCTGAGATTCTTCAGATCTTCAGGTTAGCTGTCACTCTAGTGACAGAATCGATGTTACCTTTGAAGTTCGGGTGGGGTGCATCTGCCTGTTAAGCAAGGAAACAACAGAATGCACCGATCTGTAAAACAGATGCACATGTAAAACTCAAGTACTGAGGAAAAAGGGGAGTTACTGTGGCCGAGCGGCTAGACATTCGTCGCGGATCGGAAGGTCGTGGGTTTGCTCCCTGAGCCGGACTTTTTTTAAAACGACCTTGGCTCCCAGGTCGACCCAGCCTTGAGTGGGTACCGGGTGCAGTCCCGAGAAAGTAAAGGCGGCTGGCGTGATGCTGACCACATCACCCATCTTGTGCCAACTGGTCTATAAAAATATAGGTCTAGCCCTATATGCCCTATACGCCTGATGGCATGGAAAAGGGTCCTTTACTTTTTACTTACTGAGGAAAAACACCAAAGTCCAGAAATTGATGAACAACCATGACTTTCTACCAGTGCTTACAGCCAGCAAATGCAAACAAACAAACAACAACAGATCTACTATCTAAATCCCATGATTAGATTATATTTATTGGTTATTTCTTCAGCTATTATCTTTAGTCACTATAAAGTAAAGTAAAGATCCCTTTTCACACCTTTGGCTGCATCGAGCATATGGGAAGAGCACCCCAATTTTTACAAACCAATCGGCACTAGGTGGGTAATGTGGTCAGTATTATTCCGGCCGTCTTCACTTCCCCAGGACATAAATCCTGGTACCCATTTTATGCTGGGTCCACCTGCGACGCCCCATACCATGATAAAAATCTGCTCAGCCAGCAGTGGGTTTTTTAGTCACTTTGAAAATACATAAATTGTATGTACAGTGCATGACAGTGGCTTTAACCCTGTTGCCATGAGAAGAGTAAATCTAGTAACTTCTTACTCACTGTTTGTTCCCAGTCAGGTTTTGATATGTTGGCAGTTTGACTGTTCTTGGAACATATTTTCTCACTGGGAGCTCATCATATTCTGAGCCCTGCAAAAACAAGAACAACTGTCAATACTTAACAGCATTTATTTCACCATCATGTAAAAGATCAAGTTAATCCCATTGCAAGTAATGTCACTGGGGTGTAAATACCTAGATCTTTTATATTAAATATTTATACATATAAAGATATGAAATAATAATGTAGTAAAGTGACCAACACCATTCCTCACACCTCACACCTTAAAACATGAAGAGTTCTGTTGTAAAGTGGTGAAACCATCTGCCTTGTGCTCAGAAGGTCATGGGCCCATTTCACGGGTGTGTTGTTCCGTTCATGTGTGAAATTGTTATGGAGATCCCTGGGGATCATGGCCAGAGCTTGTGTTTTGTGTTTTGTATGATGCAGGCAGGCAGCTAGTTAATCTACAGGGAGAGACCGAGCCATATGGGATAAAGCCCAGTTCAATGAAGTCGATCCTCTTACTTTAACCTTTTAACCTTAGAAAAATCAATTCTGAAAATTATCGAGTTCCTTTGTTATTGACTGAGCTCACTCCTAAAGCCACAATTCTTCTTGCGCCCTTTATCTTCTAATGAAGATTCAACCCTCAACCAACTATTGCTAAGTCTTTTGTAGACTTGACCACAAATGGTTGCATTTTAGAACTAATACTTGATAGGCTGTGTATCAATCCTCAACCCCTTGTGGGATGCAATTTTTTAGTTATTTTTAAGCCCCACCCTGGCTTTTGCCGGGGGCCATAAATATAGCAGAGTCTTAAAAATGGCCTAAGGGCTGAACGGGGTTTCCGGGACATCTCCACAGGTGATTCTCATCCACATGGTGGTACTTTGCGTTACGGGGTGTTTATCGTTTGTGTGATGTCCTGGTGGGGTACAATTTTCCTACCTACTTACCTGAGAAATAGCCAGCCCCACACCAACCCTCCTTAGTCACCTCTTATGACACACAGGATAGGCTACAGTCTCACAACTATCTGCTTCCCTTATCTTGGTCCCTAGGAACAAACTGGCATAGAGCCATGCCACTAAAAAACAAATCTAACCTTCTGATTACTGGAGACTAAACTGCTGATCATTGTGTTGGCAAGCACATACTCCTTCTTCTTGTATTCCATGTCGTGTGGCATTGGTAGTCAGGTCTATCCACAGCCTTCTGTCTCGTGCCCTTTCAATCAATTCTGACACAGATGCTTTTCCATGTCATGATGTCAAACTGTCAAGCATCTTCTCTCTTGGTCTCCTTTGCCTCTCTTTCCTTCCAACTTTCCCATTGATGTGCTCCATTATTCTTCTTCTCATGACATGACCAAAGAATGTAGACTGTCTTCTTCTGATGTGTGCAGTCAGTTCTCTTCATGATTCCCTTTCTTTAAGACATCTTCATTACTCTTTTTATCAGTCCATGGTATTGTCATTATTCATCTACAAAATCATATCGCTGCCACTTAAAAATAATTTTTCACTAATTGACTCGGGTAGCATGGTAGGGTAAACCCAACTAACAGTAGATGTAAGGTGCCTCCTTCCTTTCGCTAACCTGCAGGATACCTCATGGGCAGGGGTTGAGTACACGCTTAGCCCCCGGATCATGGTAATGTGAAGTCACGACAGGCACTAGCCTTGACCTGTTGCAGCAGGCAGGTGATTCATTAAAGTTGTGAGCAGCTGAAAAGTTTTCAATATTGGTCTCCATTTTAACTTTGCTAGGCAGAGGATGCCTCTATAGGCACAATGCCTAGGACAACCCGTCCAGTATGGGCACTACTCTCACAGAAAGAAATTGCAACCTACTGTGAGTATTGTGGAAAGAAAAGTCATATCTGTCTGTATATAACCACCAGGCTGACATATAAACATTTTAGCCAGTAAGCTATCACAGCTCCTGATCTCAGTCTCACTTATAACTAAATACTATGCTCTGAGGATAACTTCAATGTAAACTGAATTAATCAAGTAACAAGTAACAGAAAGTGTGTTGGATCGGCACTCATAGAAAGAAGTAGAAAGATAGAAGAACACACTAGACAACATAAAAATTGAAAGCTAGAGTTAACGTGCCAGGAATTGAACCTGTCACCTTTAGACGGCGTGTGCACCTCGCCATGGATACAAGTGCACTAAGAACATGGTCAACTGGGCACCCCCAAAAAAGGTGTCTTATTGGCCATTCTATAGTACAGCTTGAAATTCACAACTATGGAATAAGGACAGAATTCATTTCAACCCATTGAAATGGCACCATAGGTTACAGAAATTTATATTAATGAAGTATATGTCGAATAACAATCACAGCAACAATTTACGAACACAGTAGACCTTAATGCTTTGTCTAGAATACACAAACATTTAAGAAAGGTATTTGATTGGTAGGTTCCGGTGTGTATACGTCATTCCTATAAATAAACAGAGAGGGACCTTTGAGGCAGTTAAATATTATGAATTAATCAAGTAACAGAAAGTGTATTGATTGGCACTCATAGAAAGAAGTAGAAAGATAGAAGAACACACTAGACAACATAAAAATCGATAGCTATAGTTACCGTGCCGGGAATTGAACCTGTCACCTCCAGACGGCATGTGTGCCTCGCCATGGATACAAGTGCACTAAGAACATGGTTTATAGCAATGAAAACTGATAATTACTTTAAAAAAAACTGTATCACCTAGGGCAGAAAAAAGTTAAAATGCCACATGTTTTCATATTATTATCATTAATGTTTTTTTATTTTTTTTAGCCAGAAACCATGAGATGTAAACCCTTTGGCTCAGTACTATGGATTTTGCAACCCTTCTGCCTTAATTTTACAATAGATACCGAAAATCTGGGAAATATGTGGCTTTTCTGCCTACCTCTGAGCATAAACTCAGACCACAAGCAGTTTGTCACCGGGTCGCTGTGCAGCTGGTTTAACCAACTTGCTAGTGCGCTGGGCATATTATTTGTTAAAATTCTTACATAATAAATATTTTTTGTTCACATTCTTCATTAATAAATGGGTTAATTACAGTAAATAGTCCCAACCTACCAGCGATGGCCTCTTTAACTTCATTTCTCTTTGCCTGGCATATGCTGCTTTGATTATTCTTTTTCTTTCTCTTTCCATTTCCTTCCTTCTAGCTGTTGCCTCAGTTTTTCTCTGAGCCCTTGTTTCCTCATCTTCAGTTTCTTCTGCGGTGACCAGCGCTTTATTTAGTCTTTGTCCTCGTTCTGTTGCAGTTGAACCGGGGATTCTGAAATTTAAAAATCTGTTTTAAAGAGTCATAAACAAAATTAACCAAAGAATGAGAAATACCTGTGAAATGGGATGTTTGAGAAAGCTGCAAATAAAACCAGAAGAGTTCATGTGAGAAATTAAAAGATTAGAAAAACTATTGGATCAATACGCATCACTGAATTCACTGAGAGACAAAGACTGAAATGGTTCGGACACATAGTGAGAATAAATCCAATGATACAGGCAGCTAGAGTGAACAGCATGAAAATGAAAAGACCAAGAAGCAAATTCTTCTGTCATTTCTTTCTCATCTTTTCATTAAAAGTTCCTTTTGCATAATAATAGATTCTATACGGAAGAGGTGGCTGGCAAGTCAGAATGTTCACCTGACACTGTAGGATGGGTGTTCAATTCTGGATCGGCTCAGGGTTTTAAAATAAATCACAGTTTTCAAATAATAAGGATGTAGACAGTATGCTGGACAACTTGTTGCTTGCCTATTTCACTGCACCTCATCAAGTAAGCACCACAGAAGTTACATCAACACACAATGAATGAAGCACAATAAACTTGTTTCGAGAAAACAAAAATTCCAGACTTGCTCCCCGTTCAAGTGGCTAAACACCCTGTTGGTTATATTCAGGAGGGTTTTCTTGCTGACCTGCTATTCTTTGTGGTGTGCAGTTACACCTGATTTTTTTTTTTTTTTGGTTTCTTGGTCTCTCTTCCATATCTGGTGTGGTATTGCTGGTCCTGGTAGGGTGTGGTCTTCTTTTTTTTTTTTCAAAGTGGGTTTTTGCTGTTCCTGTTTGTTTGCTGCTGGTGCTTGGCTTTCTGTGTGTCTGCAGCCGAACTAGAGCCACAAGCAAGATCGCTGGATGCTGGGTTTCTGCTCTATGAGGTTTGAGCCAAATGAGGCACAACAATTAATCGTTTCACCTCAAATACACAAATCACATAGTCCATTGTTACACTGTGCAAAAGTCTCAGATTAACCCTGTGATCCTATTCTTACCTCTTCAGCAAACCTTAAAAGAAACCATTTATGAGTGTGATGAATAACTGAACATTTTACTATTATCTCATGATTTGTTTTGTCTTATTTGCAGAATACCCACTCATTTGTGTGTGTGAGCATTTTAGAACGCGTTCTTCTAACTCTTTTTTCTAACTGCCGTTCTGTCTGACCAGTGTAGGTTGACTGGCACTGGCATTCAAACTGATATATGCAATTAAACTGTGTACTGAGACACTGATTCTTTAACAGGTGAAGTTGCAATAGGAGAGGTCTTACATCAATTTTTCGTCGAGATAGTCAACTTTGTTTTGTTGAGCTGCAGTTATACCATTTTTATATTTGATAGATAAGTTACCAGTGTGGGTTCCAGGATCTACATGCTGGTTGTAAAAGTCTACTTCTTTTTTTTTTCTTTCTGTTCACTGGCTGTGAATTCAGGCAGAAAGTCTTGTTTGTTCATCCACTTGGATTTTGGCTTTGTACCAGGACCTGAGTTTTGCATGTACATCCATTTTACTGGCTCATTTAGGTACAGTTCTTGTTTCCTGCCTCTTGGGCAGATGTACTCCAACTTTGAAGGATGACATTGATCATATGTCTAGGATGACTGTAGCCATTGTTTTGTGGGACATTACATTGCCTCATTTGCGTGGTGTCCTTTTTTGTCCTTTTATCTATAGGTGTTGCCCCCTGGGAAACCATCTACCCTCTAGGAAAGGTGGGGCAGATCATGGGCATATCGCCACCATCCAAGGAGGCTTCCATAAATGCAGAGCTGACACATGATGCTCAGGTCTTGGGCTCATTCAAAGAATCGTCACATCCTGCACATGACTGCTTAATCTCACAAGTCTACATTAGGCTTTCTACTTGTCATGGGCTGCGCCCTCTGGAGATCAGCAGGAAGCAACCTGCAGGTCCAGGACATCGATGGCCACACAAATAGGTACATTCTTCTTCATCATGTTAGTCACTTTTAATGTTGTTTCAGCTGTACACGTAGCATAATAGTATGGAAAAGCATGCATCAGGCATAGCTTCACCTGTTTGGTCCCAACAGTCAAGCGAGTGGGGCCTATGGTAATGGACATTTGAATCTTTCTGCAATCAGTAGGACTTTTTTGACTGTCAGACATTTAAGACTTTCACTTGTGTGCCGTAGGATGTATATTTGTCAGACATTTGAGCCTAACCAGCAGACTGACAGTGGCTGTCATTGTGTAACTCAGCGCGGTGATGATGATGTAGAGGGTCGAGAAAGGATGTAGAAAAACCGGATTTTACCATGAGAAACCCCACACAGGAGATACTGCTCATCTAAGCTGCGAGCAAATCTCTTGGTATAAAAAACCAGCATAGAAAAGGCTGGTGCCTGAGGTGTGGTATGTATATCGTCAAACATATCACAGTAGACTTAACTTTCCCTCATGCCTGTGACAGCAATCACAGTACCACAGAAGTCAACTAGGGGTTTTTCATCCAAAGTCAGGGTGCATGTGCCTGAGAGGCTAACAGTCTGCATACAACTGAAGCAGACTTATAAAACCAATGTGCACGCAAAACTCAAGTTTCGGAACATGGCTAAAGTGAGAAGTGGACAAACAAACGGAACTTTCTGGCTGAGTTTACAGCTGAAGAAGAAGAAAAAGATAGATAAATAGCATGAATCTCAAAGTAGAGTTTAAAGAGATACTTAAATATTTTCAAGTCACCTCCTAATCCATGGCATTGGTCTCTTGATGACAACATCATGCTCTGTGAGAGTAATCTCAATAACTTCTGCTGTACTGGGCGGACTTTCATCTTTAAACCTGACTCTGCAACTGATAAAATACGAAAAAGCTGAGATTAATTTTGTAATAGGAATAAAATTGTAAAAAATGAGGCTTCTATTAAGAATTTAACAATTAAAAAGTTATCCCATTTCATTTCATAACGAAAGAAAACAAAATAAAATATTATTCAGGAAGTAGATAAACTGGAAGTTGCCATGTCGTAGTGGGTAGACACTCGCCTACAGATCAGAAGGTTGTGGGTTTGCTCCCTGGCGGAGTCGGACTTTTTTCAAAATGACCTTGGCTCCCAGGTCGACCCAGCTTTGAGTGGGTACCAGGTGCAGTCCTGGGAAGTAAAGGTGGCTGGCGTGATACTGACCACATCACCCATCTTGTGCCGTTGGTCTATAAAAATATAGGTCCGACCCTATATTCCCAATACGCCTAAAAGGCGTGGGGAAAAGTGTCCTTTGCTTTACTTTTTAAGTAATTTAGCTGGCTAAGTCTTTGCCCTGACTTGGCCAGTAGGTAATTATACAAGCCACTGCATAACCATTGCTCCTACATTGTAATAACACTCTCAAATTCTACTAAAGTGTAAGTAAAAAAAAATAAGTTTTAGATGCAGCTATGATAAATCATCATCATGAGCCTTGCCAATAAGCACAGGTGGTCTTGATTCACCACCTCACATAATCATCTGAAAAAAAAAAAAATCCAGTCTCATTCTTGTGTCATCCATAACGCCTGGAAGGTCATCCAGATATTTATGTTTATTCGACGGATCAACATCATGGCACATCAGTGATAACCCATAAGTGCTCTGTTCTAACTCTAACTCAAACATGAGCCTGAAGAATCTCAGCACAGTGCACAGGCTCTGTAGCACTGGTGAGGATCCTGAAATACTTTGGGTAGATTTAAAACTCCAAATTTTGCCTAGGCAGCACCGTTAGGCTACTCTTTTCGACTTCCATCTGCCAAGGGATTTTTTTTTTTATGTGTGCAAGATTACACATCTGTGTCCGATCTTACTACCCAGAGACCAGGGGAAAAACTAGAAGTCCACGTGAAAAAAAAAAAAATCACAGCCTTCACTGGGGCTTGAACCCAGGACCTCCAGCACTCAAGGTGGTCACCATACCTTGAGACCACTCAGCCCCCTATCTGATCATCCAGATATTAATCCCTTTGTTGGTTCCAGGTTTTCACAATCAGTTTCCTCACTATCACCAAGTTATCAAGGTTTTTGTTTTCCCGCTTTATTATATGAAGTAACAAATTTCAAGGTCTCAGATGATGGCGTGGAAGAACGTCATAACAAAAAAAAATGCAGAACACCAAGGATGGAGATTTGTAGAGAGATATGAATGCCTATGGCAAGACACAAGATGATGATGATTATGAACACTGACGAATATAACACTTACTCTAGGAATGATTTCAGGTCTTCTTTTAAGTACCTAATCCAAGCACTCTCTAAATTTTCCATGGCATAAATCTTTGCAGGCTCAAAAATGGAAGAATTTATATAGTCTCTGGTTGTCTCTAGACTGGCTAGCAGCTGATTTCTGTCTTCCACCGGCAGCTCTGAGAAATAATACAGAGAATATTATAATAAAGGTTACCTTTGCCCACCAATGGCGTATCGTACATATGAGACTAGACTCATAATGTTACAGACCAATCGGCCCTCGATGGGTGAATGGATCAACATCATGCCAGCCACCTTTACTTCCCAGGACTTCACCTTGTACCCACTTAAGGCTGGGTCAACCTGGGAGCCAAAGTCATCTTTGAAAGACAGAAAAATCTGGTTCCATACCCACGACCTTCAGATCCACAGGCAAACGACTAGCCACTACATTGCAGCGGCTCCCAATATTATAATAAATCAATTTTACTGTCTCCACAACTGAGGCTGGGGGTGATGCATTTACTGCTAACCTGGGGAATATTACCTGGTGAGACAGCAGTGTTTTCCATAGGCTGACTCACACACCACTGCCTGAAAGACACGAGAAAACCTTTGTCCAAACAGCCCACTGCAAGAATCAAACCTGATAACTGTCGAGGAGAGAATACAAAATTATTAAAGAGTTTGTATATACTGTGCATGGGAGCCATGGTGGTGTAGCAGATAGATGCTTGCCTACCACCCCAAAGGTCTTGAATTCAAATCCATATCACTGGGAAAGGCTAACCTGGACAACCAATGCCTGCCGAAGTCGGATGTATCGACTGAAAAGCTCAAATATTGTGGCCATGTTGTAAATGGATCTTCCGATGAACAGAGAAGAAGAAATCCACATCAAGTCAGATTCTTTTCTAAAATGACCTTGGCTCTCAGGCAACCTAGCGTAAAATGAGTACCAGGTGAAAAAAAGTCCTGGGAAGTAAAGGTGGCCAATGGTGTGATGTTGACCCCATCAACCTATGAAGTGCTGATCGATCTTAAAAAAAATATAAGTCTAGCAGCATTTCCGCATATGCCACTGGTATCAACAGCTTCCTTTACATCTATATATACTGAGTATGTGTGGATGTTTTTGTACAGGGGAGCCACGTTAGCGCAGTCGATACGAGGCTTGCTTTCAAATCCAGCTGCGACTCACTGCAGCCAAGGTCAGTGTTCAAAACCGGGCGGTTCCTGGGGTTCACCCAGCCTCTAGGAAATGGGAACCAGAGTGACATTCTGGGGTAAATGGAGGAACGTCGCTGTAGCTACAGAGGAATGTGCGGACAGCGACACAGGCGGAGAGTTTCTTATCAGCTGTCCGTACTGGTGGCAGAGCACTTATGGTTTATAACCATGTGCAATGATGCTGGTTCACATCTTCCGACTTTACCTTTTTATGTATAAATGTTTTTGTATTACTGTATTCATCTTTATACACTGTGTATGTGTGAATGTTTTTGTATTACTGTATTCATCTATATATACTGTGTATGCGTGAATGTTTTTGTATTACTGTATTCATCTATATAAACTGTGTATGTGTGAATGTTTTTGTATTACTGTATTCATCTATATACACTGTGTATGTTTGAATGTTTTTGTATTACTGTATTCATCTATATATACTGTGTATGCGTGAATGTTTTTGTATTACTGTATTCATCTATATAAACTGTGTATGTGTGAATGTTTTTGTATTACTGTATTCATCTATATAAACTGTGTATGTTTGAATGTTTTTGTATTACTGTATTCATCTATATATACTGTGTATGTGTGAATGTTTTTGTATTACTGTATTCATCTATATAAACTGTGTATGTGTGAATGTTTTTGTATTACTGTATTCATCTATATAAACTGTGTATGTGTGAATGTTTTTGTATTACTGTATTCATCTATATACACTGTGTATGTTTGAATGTTTTTGTATTACTGTATTCATCTATATATACTGTGTATGCGTGAATGTTTTTGTATTACTGTATTCATCTATATAAACTGTGTATGTGTGAATGTTTTTGTATTACTGTATTCATCTATATACACTGTGTATGTTTGAATGTTTTTGTATTACTGTATTCATCTATATATACTGTGTATGTGTGAATGTTTTTGTATTACTGTATTCATCTATATAAACTGTGCATGTGTGAATGTTTTTGTATTACTGTATTCATCTATATAAACTGTGTATGTGTGAATGTTTTTGTATTACTGTATTCATCTATATAAACTGTGTATGTGTGAATGTTTTTGTATTACTGTATTCATCTATATAAACTGTGCATGTGTGAATGTTTTTGTATTACTGTATTCATCTATATAAACTGTGTATGTGTGAATGTTTTTGTATTACTGTATTCATCTATATAAACTGTGTATGTGTGAATGTTTTTGTATTACTGTATTCATCTATATAAACTGTGCATGTGTGAATGTTTTTGTATTACTGTATTCATCTATATAAACTGTGTATGTGTGAATGTTTTTGTATTACTGTATTCATCTATATAAACTGTGTATGTGTGAATGTTTTTGTATTACTGTATTCATCTATATAAACTGTGCATGTGTGAATGTTTTTGTATTACTGTATTCATCTATATAATCTGTGCATGTGTGAATGTTTTTGTATTACTGTATTCATCTATATAAACTGTGCATGTGTGAATGTTTTTGTATTACTGTATTCATCTATATAATCTGTGCATGTGTGAATGTTTTTGTATTACTGTATTCATCTATATAAACTGTGTATGTGTGAATGTTTTTGTATTACTGTATTCATCTATATAAACTGTGCATGTGTGAATGTTTTTGTATTACTGTATTCATCTATATATACTGTGTTTGTGTGAATGTTTTTGTATTACTGTATTCATCTATATATACTGTGTTTGTGTGAATGTTTTTGTATTACTGTATTCATCTATATATACTGTGCATGTGTGAATGTTTTTGTATTACTGTATTCATCTATATATACTGTGTTTGTGTGAATGTTTTTGTATTACTGTATTCATCTATATAAACTGTGCATGTGTGAATGTTTTTGTATTACTGTATTCATCTATATAAACTGTGTATGTGTGAATGTTTTTGTATTACTGTATTCATCTATATATACTGTGTATGTGTGAATGTTTTTGTATTACTGTATTCATCTATATAAACTGTGTATGTGTGAATGTTTTTGTATTACTGTATTCATCTACACCATTCATTATCATTATCGAAACACTTCTGTATCCTATGACTTGTTTGTAGACAAAGATAACCATAACAACACTTAACAGTCCTAGAGGTGTAAGGAACGTTAACTCTTTCCACTCCAAACATATGTTTTTTAAACCTATTCTATGCAGAGGAGTTGAGCTTCAAAGCAACAAATATGTAGCTCTTAAGGAGTTCAATACAGACACTGTGGAAAAGAGTACTCGATTATTACTTCTGTTACTCATGCTGCAGGGTTTCATCTCCTCTCATCTGTTTTCATGCCATGCATATCTGCATGTATTCATGAACAAACAGAAAGAAGTTCCTGAACGCATCTGAAACAAGATGGCAGTTGAGCTGTTAGTTCAAAAAGTTAGTTGTGTATCCTTTACAGGACATTGCAGAACCAATCGCAGCATTTGTTGGCTTTTGTGGTTTTTCTAGGCACATTTACTTCCAGTAGTTTGCCACTGCTTTCTGGATCGTTGGCTTCTCGATACCACTATGTAACCAATGCAAGGCACAAAGCTCGCAGCTGGGATCGAACTCGGTACCCCGGCATGACAAACCGTGTTTGCAACACATAAGTCACAGACGCCAACAAATGAGCTGTAGAAAAGTAAAAAAAACAAAAAAACTTGCAGATGAGCTAATAGAAAACTATAAGAAACTTGCTGTTGAGTGAGCAGAAAAACAATAAGGAACTAGCTGCTCAGACAGAAAACCATAAGAAACTTGTTGCTGAACTGAAGGTTAAGGTTAGTTGCGTATCCTTTACAGGATGTTGTGTGGTTTTTCTAGGCAAATTTACGTCCAGTAGTTTGCCATTGCTTTCTGGACGGTCGGCTTTCTTGATACCACTGTTGAAACCAACGCAAGGCGCGCGGCTCGCAGCTAGGATCGAATCTGGCATCCTGGCATTACGCAGCATTCGCATCGACTTAGCCACAGAGCCGACTGCTGAACTGAATAAATAACCATTATTCTTTAATTTAAAAAAAAAATATATATATACAAACCTATCTTGTAAGGGCTATCCTCTGACAAGTACTTTCTGTAGATATTCCATGCATGACACAGTTTCAGAAGTCTATCAGACAAACAGTCTTCATCAGTCCCATACTCTGTCACATCTTCCCAAAACATTAGGCAGGTCAACAGCTGGGGATCACTGTGACTATAAGAATTAAGCAGTAAGAAATATACAGTTTAAACTATAAGCAATTTATGGTAGATCAGTTCTGTGGAACTGGTAAAAATGACAGCTAAATAAATGCCTTAAAAAGTGTCCGAAATAAGCAGAAAATAGAAAGTACAGTGAAAATCAGCAGAACAGAGAAAGTACAGTATTGGCCAAAAGTTTAAGACCACCCAGTAATTGATTTTTTTTCCATACTGTTTGGGAGTTATGACTTTACTGCACTTATTTTTATGCTATATGGCTTGGTCTCTCTGAAAAATGGCTAGCCACCTGATGCTAGCATCACAAAAAGCACTAACTCTATAGCTCCAGTCATGTTCCCCAGAGATCTCTGTAAAAACTGCAGTCATGAACTGAACGATGTGTTCTTGAAATGAACCCATGACCTTCACATCACGAGGCAAACAGCGTGACCATGTAGACCTCGAAACTAATACGGTACCCTCTCTGAACCACCAACCTTTCAGTTAACAACTGAAAGCGCTATCCAATTGTGCCACACAGACAAACTGATTTTTTATGACTCCCTAAGGCAATCATTGCTATCATCATTCTGAACTATTACAATAACAACAAAAAAAACAGCTGACACAACACTCTATAATAGTGTCAAAATATCAATTATTTACTAGATGCTCTTAAACTTGTGGTCACGGCTATATTTAGCCGACATCCACTCTATATGAGTAGCTCTGCTGCTTTCTTTAAATATTTTCAAGTGGATGTTTGTTTTATTTCATTAAGTATAAGTTAAAAAGCTGTATATCTTTACAGGAAGTCACAAGCAAATCTCAACATCTGTTGGCTGTTTATCGTTTTACTAGGCAATTTTACATTCAGTAGTTTATTACTGGAACGAGAATTGTCACTGTTTGTGGCTTAAGCGTTGTGAGCATGCTTCGTAATGCTGGGGTACCTGGTTCAATTTCAGCTGTGGACAATTTGTCTTGCATTGATTTTAACAGTGGCTGACCATTCAGAAAGCAGTGGCAAACTACTGAACGTTAAGAAAGTGTTCTGTGGTCAGGTAATAAGATGAGACACACTGGAGAACACTGAAATCACTGAAAAGATCAGTGGTAAAATGAGCAAATGCACACAGAGAGAAATGATGCTGATCATCTAAGATGGTGATATGGAGGATTGTAATCAATAAAACTGACCCAGAATACCAGGGATATAATCAATAAAACTTACCCAAAATACCAGGAATATAATCAATAAAACTTACCCAAAATACCAGGGATATAATCAATAAAACTTACCCAAAATACCAGGGATATAATCAATAAAACTTACCCAGAATACCAAGGATATAATCAATAAAACTTACCCAAAATACCATGGATATAATCAATAAAACTTACCCAGAATACCAGAAATATAAACAATAAAACTTACCCTGAATACCAAGGATATAATCAATAAAAGTGACCCAGAATACCATGGACATAATCAATAAAACTTACCCAGAAAACCAAGGATATAATCAATAAAACTTACCCAAAATACCAGGAATATAATCAATAACACTTACCCAGAATACCAGATTGATCTGTGCAGAGTCATAAACGACTATGCCTTCTGGCCAGGCACATAATAACAATAGCATTCTATAATGTTTTATATGTAAATAGGCTTAAATTAACTATTAATTTATGTTTCTTTCTTCTTATTCTTTTTTTCTCTACTCCTGGAATGCCTCAAGGCATCTGGGCAGGAACAATTATTCATAATTAGTGGATCTGTGACAATTTAGAAATTCTTTCATTTCAAAGATGAAGTCTATAACTGTCCTAGTCTATTCACATCTTATACAAGACGCACTTTCTCTTTACTACAAAAGTGCTTCTATATCTTGAATTTTGCTAATGTATAATAGCTTTTTACGTACCAACGTTCAGGCTGACAGCCTAAATGGGTACCAGATTATGTTCTCGGAAGTAAAGGCAGCTGACATGCTATTGACCATATCACCGTTGAAGTGTCAAATGTGGGGTCAGAACTTTGACCAAAACAGATCAAGCCAAGGAAACATGATTAACTCTTTTGGTAAAAGAAGGCTTCCAAGGAGCTTCCAAAGTGAAGAATTAACCATGATGAAAAATTGTGAATGATTTAGTTTCAAAGTGGCAATATACATAGTGGTAGTGACCAATTGGGGAAGCCATATTTCTTTAGTGTGTTCTTACCCTAAACAGATTAAAATAAAGCAGTACATTATGCTATGGAGGAAAATCAAAGAGGTAGATTCATTAACACATGAGGCGAAGCTTGGGACCAAAAGTGTTAACCTTCATTTTGATTATGCCTGAAGTTTCATCTTCTTCTTTTTCTTCTGCATTTGCCTTTAAAAAGAATGTGTTATGGTTTACAGCTAGGCTAGGATATCTGCACCTTACGGCCAACTACAACTGATTTCAACAAGCTTATTATTAGTCGCCTTTTATAACATATTTGGTAATTTCAAATGGATCTATTTGTTCCACCAGAACCCACACAGGGACCTAAATTTGAAATTTGTCGAAATATGAACATTGTTAACTGAAACATTGCATACCTTGTCAGATACCTTCTAAATGGACCACCTGCCAGTTTGTCTGAAGAAATTGCCAAAAGAAATCTTGCCTTTGAAGGTCTGGCGAGAAATAAAATAAATAATGCCTGCTGTTCAATGTGGCACAATTTCAAGTCATTGAAACCAAAAAAATAGTCTGCAAGCTGAATATTTTATTTGTTATGGATTTTCATCTGGACAATGGCTGATAGCTCATAGTTTCTATATAAAGTTCTCATCATAAATCAAATATGTCATGTGTACTGAATTTACATTTTTAATAAAATCTTGATTGATTGTGTCTTGTCAGATTCTTGGTTTTCCTCTAGGTCTAAAGCTTTGACTGCAGGCAGAAAGACTGGGATTCATTCCAATAAGATGTCTGCAGAATTTTATCTTTTGCTTCTGTACATTCAGTGTCGGTAGTGTCTGCTGATGATTTTTCTGTAACCATTTTTAGCTCTGTATATTTTTCAGAAGCCTTTTTCATACAGTCTTCACCCAGTTGTAATCAGTTTCCTCTCTTGCACAGGTAACGCTAAGTATATGAGCAGATTTTAGAAACAGTTTTGGAATATTAAATTTTGAGTTATGAGTTATGATTTGGGTTATCTTCACGGCACTCCGGACACATCCATTCGTGCTCAGATTCCCTCTTTAACATAAACATCAGCGTCCTATAGTTGGTGGTCCCAGTCCTATGTTGTACTCTTGCCTGGCTGTGCCGATCTTTACTCCCAATTCTTGCACTCTTAGCAAAAATGTGGATGTGCTGCACTCAAAATCCTCCAAATGTCCTACCTCTCTAATGGCGTTAACAATGTTGGCATGATCCATTTGTGAATGTCAGCAATCACTATCTTACCAATAAAAAAGTAATACATTTTGCATACTTAAATACACTGTTGGTTGCTTGGTTTGTTGGCTGTGAATATTTGTACACTACCACACAATGTATAGAACCATGGGTAAATTCTGTTTCAACTATACAGCAGAGACTGTGGTCTCTGTGGTCTGTGGTACTACAGCAGGCTGCTGAAATGTTACGCCATACCAGTTCTGGCATGGCCATTGAGTTAACCGTATGTGTCGATTCCTCCCCACCAAATATATGGTTGACACATTCCGTTTCTGGGGACAGCTTTTATCGAGTTTGCTCTCTAGATAGTTGCAGTCCCCTGCTGACGAGATTCTGTCTTCCCGAGTGGACCGCCGCGATCAAAACATTGCGAAGGCAGCGTGGCCGAGGCTGCCAAAACTATCAGTCATTATCCCGCCCCGACACAGCACAACCACAATACACGCTGTTCCCACGAAAAACATACCAGTTCTGACTGCCACCAAGTGGTCATCTTCACAGATGTGCAATCAGTGCTATACGCTTTCAGGAGTGGTAAACTACCTCACCAGAGATCTGAACTTAGCAAGGTGACTGTGAAGGTTACTGCACACCAATGGGTGCCATCCCATTGTGGTATACCAGGAAAGTATACCACAGATAGAATTGCTAAGAAAGGGGCAGAATGTGAACAGGAAGATAATGAAATAATGTACTTTAAAAAAGGGGGGGGGGGGGGGAACCATCCAGTCTGTCAGAAATTAACAGAATCTATCCAGAGATGACTACCACTTACAAGACCGCATTGGACAGGTCATGATTCTACACCTCAGGACAGGGCATAACAGACTTAACAAGCATTTGCACAGGCTTCGTCTAAGTAGTTTACCATTGTGCCCATGTGGGCTGTGTTTGTGCAGATTGCAGAACATGTCCTCCAAGAAAGTTCCTTGTACAGCCCTTTAAGAAGGAAATATTGGCCCAGGAGTCAAAACTATACTCAAAGTTGTAAGGAACCAAATGGGAACTTCTAAAAACAGTCAAATTTATCACAAGACTCATCTGTTGGTGTGAATCAGAAAGCAATCACAAGAAGAAGAAGAGTAAATTTTACATCAAGCACTTCAGAACATGTACTACCTAAAAGAGCAGTTCACTTACAACCTGGCATGTGTTTGTTTTTCTGATGATGCTGATGAGGGAAACTGTGGATGTTCTCTGTAAGTTCGGTGCAAATGGCTGCCATCTCCAGTGTTTACTGGCAGTTTATTGGCATAATCTTTGATATCTTCAGGCAATACTGGTACAGAATGCACAAGTGATATAGATGGCCAAGATGGCAGCTGATTCTTTCCTGTTAAGACAGAGGTTTTTTAATGACAAGAAATTAATCCTTGGAAGAGAAGGCATCAAATATACCATCTGATAAGAATGTTATCGTTATTTTAAACTTATTTTCTATCCTGGGATATAAAGTAAAGTAAGTAAAGGATTCCTTTCATCACATTGGGTTACATGTAAATTATGCCAGACCCATAACTGTAAAGACCTATCGGCACTTGATTGGTGATGTGGTCAACATCACAACAGCTGCCTTTATTTCCTGGGACATTTTCTAGGATCCATTTTAGGCTCGGTCAGCCTGGGAGCCAAGGTCATATTTTGAAAATTTGCCTAGTGCTGTTTTGAACCCAAGACCTTTAAGTCAGCAGGCAAGTGTCTATACTAGCCCCTTAACAAGTATGTTGTAGAAGGTGACTAATTAGGGATTCTTCCTTTGAAATGCATTGCTTAAGAGGCAATGAAACAACAGTCTGCATACAAAATATCCAGATCTGTAAAATGGATGTGCACAAAAAAACTCAAGATCTGTAACAAGATCAAAGTCCAGAACATTCCACTGGAGTTTAAGCCAGTGAACAATAAGAAGAGGAAGAAAACCTAATGTTATGGCAGGCAGACCAGGCCCTTAGCCTTGGCTGGCAGCTGGTCTAGGAGGGAAGCTCTTACAGGCGGACAGACTACTACTGCTCTTTTGATCTGGCTCCGTCCCCACTGTACTGGTGTTACCTTTCCTTTGGAGTTAACAAGGCTGGCCGAGTGAAAACATGGGCAACACATGGTCTCTATAAAACTGTGCATGTTTTGTGCTATAGGTCTTGCTAGTGACACTCACCATCACCACTGGCTGTGATCTCCTATGCCTCCCTATAGCACAATATAATACTGTGGTCTGGAATGGCAGAAAGCAACATGATTTTCTTTTGTTGAATCATTAAGGGTCTGGAGTCAACCCAGCCTCATACAAATTGGTACCAGGCCATTTTCTGGGAAGTACAGGTGGAAAAAAGGAACCTGGATACTTGATCTCACATGCCATAGCCTTGAACCATCTTCTTTAACGTGTGGGCTACAGATTAGCTCTGTTTAATGAAAACTTCCTGGCAGCCCAAGAAAAATGTCCACCCAATCAGGATTTAATAAATAAAATGCTCTCTACATTTTGTCTGTATTTATGTATTAGCCTTCAGCCAGTCTGCGAAATTTATTATTATTTAAAAGACCCTATTTTTATTAACGCCAGTGGTGCATCAAGAATATGATGCAAGACACATAACTTTATAGACCAACTGGCATTTAGTGGGCCATGTGGCTGACATAACAACAGCTGGCTTTATTTTCTAGGACAGTTGCTGGTATCCATTTAAGGCCAAGATTCTGAGAGCCAAAATCAATTTTAAATTTAAAAAAAAAAATCTTATTGGATGCGGATTCAAACCCAAGATCTTCATGCGGGCAGTCTGCAAAATATTTCTCTTATTTTCCTGGTCAAGAGGTGAAAAAAAAGTTTGAAAAACACTGACAGTAATTCCAATGGCAGTATTTGCTACTGGACTTCTTTTACATATTTACCAATGAAGTTTACCTGTAGGACAGTTGCTGGTATCCATTTAAGGCCAAGATTCTGAGAGCCAAAATCAATTTTAAATTTAAAAAAAAAAATCTTATTGGATGCGGATTCAAACCCAAGATCTTCATGCGGGCAGTCTGCAAAATATTTCTCTTATTTTCCTGGTCAAGAGGTGAAAAAAAAGTTTGAAAAACACTGACAGTAATTCCAATGGCAGTATTTGCTACTGGACTTCTTTTACATATTTACCAATGAAGTTTACCTGACGGTTTCATGGTTGTAGAAACTAAGGTCGGTGATCCGGGATACAAATTTGGAAAAAGTGATGATGATTCAGATTCTTCGTCCTCATCTACTCTGTGAAATTTACAATAATGAGTGTGAACCAAAAAATGTGAATATAAAATTATAGAACAGCTGAAGTTCCATGTGATACTAAGAAAAGGACCCTTGGCTCCTCGGCTGACTGAGCCTAACACTTGGCCCCAAGAAATGTTATGGTAAGTAACAGCAGCTGACATAACTGCATCATCCACCAAGTACCGACTGATTTATAAAAACATGGGGCTAAAATCTGTATGCTCCATATGCCTCAAGACATGAAACAAGGTCTTTTGCCTTCTTAAAATATGTTTTTGTTTATGTACATATGTTGGCGTCTGTGGTGTATGAGTTATGAGTGTGGTTCACAACTCCAAAATATCTGTCTGATTCAATTGCAGTCAATCTGGCTGCAGACAGTTTAGCAGTAATTTCAACAATGGTATAAAGTGTCAACCTTTCAAAAAGCAATGTCAAACTACTGAACGTAAAGTTGCCTAAAAAACAACAAATATTGGAGTGGGTTTGCAATATCCTGTAAAAGATTTGTAACTAATTCTTATGCATAGATAATAATGAAACTAAACATTCTTCTTCTTCTGCGTTCATCCAAAGATGTAATTGCGTTGTGTCCGTTTACAGCATGGCTGCAAAATTTGCACCTTTCGGCCAACACATCCGACTTCTGCGGGCATTTGTTGACCGGGTTAGCCTTCCTGGTTAAACTGAACATTCTAATATTTCAGAAATGGGGCTCCATTGTGAGAGAAAATAAAAAAAAATAAAAACAAGAAAAAACTGACCCCTAACAAGCATGTCACAAAAGTTGACAATATAGGGGTGTTTCCTTCAAGTCAAAGGGCACCTGCCTGAGAGATAAAGATAAAACCGTAAAATACAAATAAGCCAGATCTATAAAGCAGATGTGCACATAAAACTCAGGTTCTGGAAGGTGGATTTTGGTCACAGGCATGAGTGAAAGTTAAGTCCGATGTGATGTGTAAAAGGAGACACGGTACCTCACCTCTGGCGCCAGCCTTTATCTGTGCTGGTTTTACGGAACCACATGCAAGACTCCTGCTACACGTCTCCATCGAGCGCCAAGGTTAATGACTCAAACAAGCATTAACAGAGCTGGCAGGTGATGTTGGAGCTGGTGGCCCCCAGAGATGTAGGGTCCAGTCTGGCTCTCATCAACCGACTCGCAATGCATGGGTGAAAACGTCTATCAAAACTCACTTGTAACATGAGTTAAGTCCACTTGCCGAATGTACCACTAAAAAATGACAACTCTCAGTTAAAGTCTGTCGAGTGAAGGAAAAATGAAATGCTGAGACTCAGCCCTAGACCAAGAGATTTAACCCTGCAGATCTTCAGAGGGCGCAGCCCATGACAAGTAGAAAGCCCAACGTAGGGTTGTGAGATTGGTAGTCATGTGCAGGATGAGATGGTTCCTTGGATGAGCCCAGGACCTGAGCATCATGTGTCAGCTCTGCATTTATTGAAGTCTCCTTGGATGGCAGGGAATGCCAATGATCTGCCCCTGCCTTTCCTTTAGGACTGACCAGTCTATATGTGGGTGCCCTTAAGTTGTTCTCAGGTGACAACATCTGTAGTAAAGAGACAAAGAGGACACCACACAAATGAGGCAACATCATGTCCCACAAAACAATTGCCACAGAAATCCTAGAGAAAGGATTGACATCTTCCTTCAAAGATGGAGTAAATCTGCCCAAGAGGCGGGGAACAAAAACGGATTTACAGCAAAACTCAGATCCTGGTACTAAGTCAAAGTCCAAATGGATGAACAAATATGACTTTCCACTGGGATTCACAGCCGGTGAACAAGAAAAAGAAGGTTCTGGAACAAGACTAAAGTCCAGAAGTGGATCAACAACCACAACTTTCCACAGTGGTTTACATCCAGCGAATGCAAAGAATAAGAAGATTGCAATTTTGTATTTCTGTTAATGCTTTTAATAGTAGTTGTAAAATTACAAGGAGTTTTACTTTATCCCCTTTACATAAATCTTTCATTAAGATAAACTTACCTAACATTCTTTGTCATCTCACAGTGAATGATAAACCTGGGTACCCAGTAGGCTCTAAGCCGCCTGAGTACATCATACTGTGCCCTGAGAAATATATTGTAACTGAGCCCATTGTTGCTTGCAGCTCTGTTTATCTGTTCCACTGCATCAGCTGTCAGTTTCAGCTTGAATTTATCCTGGATATTTCTGTGTGGATAAATATTAACCAGACCTCACCAGAATTTGCATTTAACTGAGCTAGCTTAACACAGTGGTACATCAGTTAGTAAGTAAGTTACTTGGTAAGTAAGTTAGTTAGTTAGTTAGTCGACAGATTATCCTCACTGCACATCAAACTATTTGGTCTATAAGTACAAGGATTCCCTCCCTAGTAAATCCTGCAGCATATAGCGGCATCACAACACCAGTTCTGAGTTAATTTCTTATTCTTATTTGGCTTCCTGCATAGTGCCCTTCTCTGGCCACACCCCTGTTAAAATCTTGTTCTTGCAGTCTGGTCATGGTGTACGTCAGTACACGTCCTTAACTGTTTGAGTCCCTAGGAACGCATCACTCACTAACTGGTTACAACCCAGCAGCCCAGTCTGTGCATGATTAGTGAAGGTTTTTAATTTACCATTTATCAGTAATAAAATGTGGACCGCTCAATTTCAACTTCCTTTCCATTTCTTTGCGTTTGATATCAGGCGTGCTGACCAACAGACTCATTTGGAAATTTAGTTAAAAGCCTCAAATGTAGTATATTTGCGAAGTTTACCAAGTTACTAAGCGTTTCTTTGAAAAAATATGGTCGCCAAACAGCGTTCTACATGCATGCCAACATGATTTACGGCTTTAGAAGCCTCAAATTTAAATAAAGCAGGTGTTTATTAGATTTATCCAAAGTTAGATAGATAACATTGCACAGTAGGTTTGTTTCAGTCATTTATAGATGATTCTCTGGATCCTAAAGGTTATATTCCCAACAAAGGTCGTATACTAAGCAAAACTGTTTGCTCCTTAACAGTATGTATACCAAGTTGGACTTATTAAAAAGTGAACCAGGTACCACTGTACTAGCAATTTTACCACCTAGTTTTTTTCTGGACTATTTAGAGATCATAAATAAACATTTTAAATTTTGAAAAGTATTTGTAACTTAAATAAATATAAGTAATGATTTAAAATTTTACATGAAATATTTCAAATGTTTATTCAGAATATTAAAGGCCCCAGATGGGGATTTTAAACAGCATTAAAAAAAAAAACCTTTAAAATTATATCTCTATTGAATATATCAAGAAGGGCATCTACATTCTTTAGGGACGTCCTGGTTGATTATCCACTTCTGGACTTTGGCCTTTTTTTACCAGTCAGTGACTTCTTCAGTCCATCTTCTTCTAGGTTTCCCTCTACTTCTTCATGTTTTTATTGTCCTGTTGCATGCTCTCACTGCAAAGATCACTGGATTCATTCTCATTAAGTGGCCAAACCATTTTAGTCTTTGTTTCTCAGTGAGTTTCATGTCGGGTTTTGCTCCAATAGTTCTTTTATCCTTTCATTCTCACAGGATTTCGATTTTGTTCATTTCCTTTCTGAAACATCTAATTTTACACATGGTTAGTATAAAGATTTTGTATACATTAAACTGATATTACCTGAAGAACATAGGTCTGATCTCCATTACTTCACTTTCACTGAGATCCTCCATGCTGTCCTTAAAATTCTCACACTCAAGCCAAAAAGCCAGTAGGTGCTCTCCAGTTGTTCCTTGAAGGAATTCACGAAATCTTTCAAAGCCTCTTTGCTTTTAGATGGTATAGAAAATAATGAGATCAGTCAAACAACAACAAAAGGTTGACTTAATAGCAGACTTTGTGGACAAAAAATAAAAAACAGCAAATAAAATAATTTGGCTGCTAACCAAGCAATCACAGTTTTTATAACTATCACTGTAGTCACAAACCCCATGGGCATCTTAACAAAATATTCTGGTGGTGAAAAAGTTGCCATGTCGATTTGCGATGTGGTGTTTTGTGGACGTTGTTCTGCTTACCCATTTTGTAAATTTGTTTGTCACAGTTCACTGGATAAATGTTTTGAAAAAGTTGAGGATGACAAAAGTTTTTTTTAATTTTTATTTTAAATAATATCCCTTATGTTTGAACAGCCAGCCACAAAATATTACTTACAGATCCCAGTAGCAATTCTTTTACTTGCTGAGCTGACATCTTCAACCGCCCCTCCATGTTCCTTATATCTGTTTCAGTCTGCTCCTCACTAATTCCTTCCTTGTCAAACTGTATGAAGTTTGGCCCACCAAAAATGGCCTCTAAGTCAGTAAGGTTAAATTTTGGCATTTTCAGGAATTCTTCAAAGTTGACAGGCGCAGACAAAACTCTGTAAATAAAACACAAACAGTTTTTTTTTTAAACATACTAAACATTACTCTTCATTATTTCAGACGTGATTAACTTATTTACAGTATTTATACACAACATCCTTATTAGTTAAGGAGGACTAAACAAAGCAAAGGGATCATGCTACAAGACAAGAAAACTGATGAAATTCTCCCTGGTAACATGACAAGTGTGATGGATATCATATGATAAATAGTCCAGTGCTCTTATTATAATCTTAGATTCAATTAACATGGAAATATGACATATAATAGGATACACCCTCTTTTTTTCTTTATCTTTATGAGGTGTCATTGCATTCAGTTTTAGTTTCAGCACTGTAATTAACAGATTTAAAAAAATCTTAAACTAAACCATTCGAAACCTGTACAATAGAGGGAACTGGAAATGAGGAAGGCCAAGAAAGAGATGGATCTAAAATATGGACAAAGTCTCAAATGTTAAACCATCAAGTCTAGTGCATCTGATTGACAAACATGGAGTGACCTGACCAAACAATCAACAGTAACTTGCCAAACAAATGACATACAGTGTTACAGAACGAGTTAGGCAGGCAGGCAGGCACAGACACACACACAGATAGACAGACACACAGAAAAAAAAACAAGTCCAAGGATAAGATAATGTCAAAATTTTTCTGTATCGGGACCACTTGTTTAAAGCAAAAAAAAAACACTGACATTTAGCAATCAGGTGAAATTACTTTCAAAAGTATTATTCAGAAAAGTTAACCCCCTCAATAAATATCATGAAGAAGTTGAATATGTCAATCTAAGTGTACAAGAATTACAGCTCTGCTGTAAACATGTGCAAAGTACAATACAGTGGTGGCCAAAAGTTTGAGACCACCTAGTAAATAATTGATTTGTCCACATTATTATGGAGTAGTGCATAAACTGATATTGTTCATGTTTATTCAATGGATCAACATCATGGCACACGGGTGTAACCCTAATTGCTTCGTTCTACTTCTAACTCAAGACTGACTCTGAAGAATCTCAGAGCAGTGCACAAACTCTGTTGCACTGGCATGGATCCTGAAATACTTTGGGTAGATTTTTAACTCCAAATTTGTGTCCGGTATAAACTGATATTGTAAGGCAGAATTATGACTGCAGTGATTGCCTTTAGTGAATGAGCCCTAAAATAACAGTAGTCTTCCCCATGTGGGATGCAATTTTTAGTTATTTGAAGCCCCACCTTGGCTTTTTGCCAGGGGGCCCTGAATATAGCCGGGCAATAAATATGGTCTAACGGCTGAAAGGGGTTGCTGGGACCTCTCCACGGGTGTTCCTCATCCGCATGGTGGTACTTTGTGTCATTGCGTGTCTATCGCTTTGTCTGATGTCCTGGTGGGATATAACTTACATACATACATACATAACAGTTGATGCAATACTTTAGAATTTTATAGAAAAATCAATTATTTACCCGGTGGACTTAACTTTTGGCCACCATTGTATAAACCTTTCAATAAACAAAAAGAGATACAAGCATAAAAAAAGATCAGTGATTTAAAACAAAAAAGATCAGTGATTTAAAACAAAAAAGATGACTACCTTGCTCCTCTCAAGAAAGCATCTTCAGTTGATGATGTTGCAGCCCTGCTTCTACTAGATGATTTTCGTTTGGAACCTTCCAATGTTACAACAAATTAATATCAACAAATTATTGTTACTGCTCATTAAGTAACCATTCCGTCAATTAAATGATATTATGTATTCTTGTTTGTATTTGTGTCACTGTCTAGTCACGTAATTTCCTGATGAAGGCTTTCTAGCCATAGTGTTCACTTAGTTAGTTAGTTAGTTAGTTAGTTGGGTTATCATCATTGCACTCCGGACATGTCCATAGGTGCTCAGATCCTCGTTTTTTGCTGTTCACTTGTTATTTGTGTTTGTGAATAATGTGAAGCTAGTTCTACTTTTCATCTGGTTTGATGTTTTTTCATATTTATAAATTTATTCACCCTAGTCTACTCTCATTTGAGTTTGGGATAGTCGTGCTGGCATCCTTATGTCTTTTGTGGACATAACAGTATTTGAGGACATACTCTACGTGTGTTTGTCCTCTGAAAATGGACATACACTGGTATATAACATTTTCACTTACTTACTTTGCAGGTGGGAGTCGCTGTGGCAGAGCGGCTAGATGCTCGCCATGGATCGGAAGGTCATGGGTTCGCTCCCTGGCAGAGCCAGGGTTTTTTCAAAAATGACCTTGGCTCCTAGGTCGACCCAGCCTTGAGTGAGTACCGGGTGCAGTCCCAAGAAGTAAAGTCAGCCGGTGTGATGCTGACCACATCATCTATCTTGTGCCGATTGGTCTATAAAAAAATAGGTCTAGCCCTATATGCCTAAAGGCGTGGAAAAGGGTCCTTTACTTTTTTTTTTTACTACTCTGCAGGTATTATTTGAGAAGCTATATCATGGAAGAGAGGACAGTGCATCAAGTATGTTATATTTTAATGAACATATTATTGTTTTAAAATAAAAAAATAAAAATGCTTTTTTTTTAAACATAAAAATAAAAGCAGTTTTAGAGACAGTAATAATAAACATTACATAACAAATATGCTCCCTTGCAAAAGTATATCTTCGTCTTAGCATTCATAGCTATAGACTTTGGCAGAAAGTTCTAGTTTTTTGTCCACTTCTGGACTTTGGTTTTATTCTAGAATAGAAGTTTTGTGTGCATATCTGTTTTACAAATCTGTTTCTTCCTTGCCATTAAAGCAGATGCCCTCCAACTTTAAAGGAAACACATTAATTAATCGCCTTTTATGGCATGCTTGTTGAGGGCAGTGGGTCTATTCTTTTACCCCAAAATAGGGCCCCAGAACTTACACAGGGCAATAATAATTCCAATCAAATAGTAAATAACTCCCTAGTATATCTGACATTTTATTTATCATGAGAAGGTGTAGTGATGCATTAGCGTGCAAGTTACCTGCCTTCCTGTGGTCTTGTGTTTAAATCCACACTGAAGCTCTCCCTGAGGGGTCCAAATATCTTTTTTTTTAGGGTGGGGGGACAAAATAATGGACCCACTGTCCCCCTATCAAGCATATCATAAACGTTGACTAATTAGGGGTGTATCCTTCGAAGTCTAGGTGCATCTGTAAAATCAGTTGTGTAAAACAGATTTGCATGCAAAATTCAAGTTCTGAAACAAGACCAAAATCCAGAGGTGGATGAATTACCTTAACTTTTATGCCAGAGTTTGCAGCCAGTTTTTTTTTTTCTATTTAAAACAACCACGAGCTCTCAGGTCAACCTAGACTAACAATACAAGGACCTTATATCTAATATGCCTCAAGATGTGGGAAAAAGTCCTTTACTTATTTTTGTTTTTGCATTCATTATTAAAGTTACAGTAAACATAATTATTAGCAACGCATTGTCACAAATCCTAATTATAAGTTATCATGCTTTCCTATTCTTCTTTTTCTTCTGTCTAACCTATGCTGTGAAGTGCTGCATAGAGGAAACATGTAATTTCCTGTCTTTTCTAGTTGTGTACCTTGTGTTAATGCCATAATGCGCTTCTATAGTGTCTCTCTTACTCCATCAGCCCATCTCTTTATTATGCCTACCCTCTACTATAACACTATTGTTTGGGAAGATGGAGATTGCCAACTAACAATGCATGCACATACAACTATCACAAACCTGTGCTATTCTTTGAAGCTCTGTTTTGTTCTTCTCCATTAGACTTTCTAAAATAAAAATTGTAAGCAACTTTATAATTAAATAAATTTACAAAACAAACCAACAAACTTTACATTTACTGACTATTGACTCTTAGTCTCGAGAAATGTGTAATGTGTGAATTACTCTTCTTCACATGTTCCAAACACTGTATCAGGTGATGATTTGCCTTTTGTGCTTAGAAAGCACATACTAAGAAGATCTGGCTATCCTCATTGCAACTTCTGGTAACTTTATATTCCGTCAACTGTAACAATTTGGTTTCATGAGATTAGACATTTTTCAGTAAAACACTCAGACTGATGAAATGGGTCGATCAAATTATATCGAACAATATTATGTAATAAAGAATCAATCAAATTTGTTTAATTGAAAACAAAGTTTGCAGTTGTAAGTATTATGTATTTACTTCATTTAATGTTATATATTATGTTTAAAGTTGCGATAGAAAATTGTATTCATAATTGTATTCATAATTGTACATGAAAACTGTTAAGAAGAAAGGCATTAAAGGCTTAAAGTGTTAGGATTTGTTGGTAAGATGACAATATCATATTTCTGTGTGACATACTTTTCACGACTTTCCATGTTTTAATAATTATAATATCTACAGAACAGTGAACACATTAAATTATATTTAGTTAATAAAGCCCCACATTCATGCATCTTGAAACAGATCTTTTGAAAAATGTGTTTAAAAATAAGTATGACTACAGTTTACATTACTGATACACTGATTATGAAAAACATGTTAACATAAAATAATTGACATATGTTTTAACTGAGTAGTTAATGAGTTAAATTACATGACTGTCAACCAGGTAAACCTGCAACAATAACAAAAAGAATGACACAACAGTACCTCATTTCACTTTTTGTTGCTAAAGTTGTAATTCCACCGGGTTCTTTATTGGATGTAATATGATTTGGGTATGCAACATATTCATGTGATTCAGAGAAGTGAACCATCACATCTTCGTCAGACTTCTGTGACGTAGCAGTACTTGGTGATTTGGACCAGGGCTTACCACACAATGTACCAGCAGAGGCTTTGGGAGAAACAAAAACAATTGGACATCATGATTTCCTCCAGTGATTTTAAATAATGCGGACCGAACAATACACTGCACAATTTATTGCCTCTAATATTTCACTTGGGAGTCGCTGTGGCGTAGCGGCTAGTAGCTCGCTTGTGGATTGGAAGGCTGTGGATTCAGGTCCTGGTGGAACTGGGCTTTCTTCAAACATGACCCTGGCTCCCAGGTCCACCCAGCCTTGACTGGTCCATGTTGTCAACCACTTGACAACATCACCCACCAAATGCTGATTGGTCTATAAAATATAGATCTAGCCCTATATGCCCAATATACCTGATGGCGTGTAAAAGGGCCTTTTACTGACCTTTTATATTTCACTTAATCTCATCAGGTGTATTACTACCAAGTTAAATCAACATAAAATGGAGCACACACAAACAAAACAAGAATCCTTTCAACTGAAATGCACAGATAGATCACATTTACATTGTACATCAAAACAATAGAAATTTAAGATTTAAAAGAAGATATTTAGAAAATAATAAGCAACATATGCAAGGAACGAACAACTATTTTGGCCGTAAAACCTTTCGCCCTGGTGTCATATAAAAATCATAGCAAAGCTTCCATAATTTATATTTTTCTGATATTTCTGAGAAGAAATCCTTGACTTCCCAGAAGTCCTGAAAACTGTGGAACAGTGACTGCGCTGCAGTCTTGAAGCATGCTTGGCGTAATTCCTGGTAGGCTTCATCACAGCAGAGATCATGGTTTATCCTGCAGTTCGTCAGTCATGAGTAGAACTGACAAGGATGCCTCACATGGAGATAAAGAGAGGCTTTGTTTAGTCTGAACCTCAGCCTTAAAATGCCAATCCCCCACAGTTCCATTAACTCTTTCAGTATCAAGGAACTCATCATACATTGATTAAGTAAAAGGTAAGTGAGGGACCCTTTCCCATTCCTTCATGCATACTGTGCATATCGAGCTAGACCCATATTTTTAAACCGATCGGCACTCGCTAGGTAATGTGGTCAACAACAAGCCCACCTTTACTTCCCAGGACTTCGCCTGGTACCCTGGCAGTTGACGGTATGTCATAAACATTTCACTACATTACCTATACCATTCTTGTCTTACATTAACCCCTAATGGTCCAATAGTTACCTTCTCTCCCACAGCTGTACTGTTCAGCTTTATGAGACTGAACAACTTTTGTTCTAGGATACACAACAACAACAACAACAAATTAGCACAGACATTGTCAGGGACTGAAAGAGCTCAAAATTAATAAAAATATTACCAAACAGGGTCATTGTAGGCAAGGAAAGAGCTCGACTTCCAGGTCGTTGATAGCGGTAGAGGGCACTGTAGTGCGGGTCACCCCAAATATCTTCATCACAAATATCATGACCATTATTATCTCCACTGACACTGAAAAAAATATTGAAATACACTAGATTTACAGTTATCATCTGTGATAGGATTATTGAAACTGTAGCATCTACTATATGACTATTATAGCTGTAGCATCTACAACATGACTGTTATAGCTGTAGCATCTATGACATAATTATTATAGTTGTAGCATCTATGATAGGACTATTATAGCTGTAGCACCTATGAAAGAATTATTATAGTTGTAGCATTTATGATAGGATTATTATAGCTGTAGCATCTATGACAGGATTATTAAAGCTGTAGCATCTATGACAGGATTATTATAGCTGTAGCATCTATGATAGGATTATTATAGCTGTAGCATCTATGATAGGACCTTAATAGCTGTAGCATCTATGATAGGATTATTATAGCTGTAGCATCTATGATAGGACTATTATAGCTGTAGCATCTATGACAGGATTATTATAGATGTAGCATCTATGACAGGATTATTATAGCTGTAGCATCTATGACAGGATTATTATAGCTGTAGCATCTATGACAGGATTATTATAGCTGTAGCATCTATGACATAATTATTATAGTTGTAGCATCTTTGATAGGACTATTATAGCTGTAGCATCTATGACAGGATTATTATAGCTGTAGCATCTATGACATAATTATTATAGTTGTAGCATCTATGATAGGACTATTATAGCTGTAGCACGTATGAAAGAATTATTATAGTTGTAGCATTTATGATAGGATTATTATAGCTGTAGCATCTATGAAATGACTATTATAGCTGTAGCATCTATGACAGGATTATTATAGCTGTAGCATCTATGACAGGATTATTATAGCTGTAGCATCTATGACAGGATTATTACAGCTGTAGCATTTATGATAGGATTATTATAGCTGTAGCATCTATGATATGACTGTTATAGCTGTAGCATCTATGACATAATTATTATAGTTGTAGCATCTATGATAGGACTATTATAGCTGTAGCACCTATGAAAGAATTATTATAGTTGTAGCATTTATGATAGGATTATTATAGCTGTAGCATCTATGACAGGATTATCAAAGCTGTAGCATCTATGACAGGATTATTACAGCTGTAGCATCTATGACAGGATTATTATAGCTGTAGCATCTATGATAGGATTATAATAGTTGTAGCATCTATGATAGGATTATTATAGTTGTAGGATCTATGATAGACTTATTATAGTTGTAGCATCTATGATCCGGTCGGTGGTAAAAATTGTTATCAAGTAGATTTATACACAAATTGAACTACAGTTTAATTAATTTGCACATGTATTTTTTGAATGAATTATAATTCTGAAGATAAATAAATGGGCTATTAGAAAATATTTATCTTCAAAATGATAATTTGTACCAGCATAATAACTGTAATAAAAGGATGTGGACAGACATGATTACCAGCACAACAACTGTTATATTAAAAGTTCTTTCCCACTGTATGGTTTTTGTGCTTTACTTCACGTTCATTGTTTTGCGCTTGTTATATGTTATATTTTGCCGTTAAATGTCTAAAAAAAAAAAAAAAAAAAAAAGATTTCTTAAAAATTTTATTGGCTTGGGACAAAATAAGTTCTGGCACCTTTCTATAAGCACTGAAAGAGAGAAGGACAGAAAAGAAAACAGCATGATAAATATTTCAAATTATCATACAGACCTGAAACCAGATATATAGCTCTCTGTGCCACGACTGTAACCCCGTAAATTCCTGCTACTGTTACGACTTGCCGAGCGACTGTCAAGTGGTCTAAGCAACAGTTTCACTATTTTAAGTTCCCTAAATAGCTGGGCCCTGAAAATAGACATTTGAAAGTAAATAATATATTATTAATAAAATTTGTTATAACCAACGATATTAATTTGTTTGTATTTCCTTTTTTTTTATTTCTGCTTATCACAGGTGACAGCTCTGCTAATGTAATGGCTATATGTTTACTTGCCGGCTCTCCTGGTGAAGTATGGGTTACAGTGTCGCCCAGTAAAACAGCCTTGCAAAGAATGATAGTTATCTTGGACTCAAGGTGAAGGGATGGATATATGGTGAAAAAAAGAACAGCGATGCAAGAGCTGATCACAAGCGGCTCCAGCTGACGGGCAGTGTTGCTGACGTCACAGGGTCGTGCTAACAATGCGTTATTGCAGCGGTTCACAAATAAGAAATAAACTATTTTCGACAGTGGTGAGCAAAGACAACTTAAATTTTAACTTTCAAGTATCAACATGCCTTCTTTAATAATTTCACAATTTTAGCCGACATTCTCTTGATTATTACCCTGGCACCCCTGGCATACGCTCATGGCACCAAAGGGTACCTTAGCACCGAGTTTGAGAACCGCTGCGTTAACGCATCGTTAGCCTGACCTGGTGACGTCAGCAGCACGGTTCGTCAGCTGGAGCCAGTCGGGCGATGATCAATAAAAATTCACTCCCAGGTGGTATCATTATAAACACAGATGGGTCTGTAGTTATATTTGGTTGTATGGAGTAAGTAATTAGACTGGCTGCCTCATCTCCTCTGGGTGATGAGCTACTTTATGAATAAGTGGTCTGTGTGAAGAAGGCTCTCTGTGATCAAATGGACAGTGCAATGGAACAGATAGAGAATCCGTACACTGAAAGACCAATTCAACTGGAGATGCATAGAGGTTCTGAAAGATATTTAACGCTGAGGGGGAAACATAGGCGGAATTTAAATCAGGTTTCAACTGGTACTGTTAGCTTGTCGATTCTTTGTTGGTTTCTGAGGAAGTGGATGAGGACACATGTGTAAATGAGTGCAGTGACATAATTCTTCATTAATTCATTCCTTGCCCAAAAGTCTTGATTTTCAATCCTCAACAATAATTATTTTTTTTTTAAACTTACCTTGGATCCCAGATTGACCCAGCCTAAAATGGTACTAGGTAATGTTCTGGGAAGTAAAGGTGGCCATACGATGTTGACCACAGCACCAACCGAGTGTGGACTGTCTATAAAACTATGAGTCTAACATTGCATGCCCAATGTGCCACTGGCATAAACAAGGGTCTTTCTTTTACTTACTTGCATAGAATACATTTTTTGCAAGAAATGGTACCATAAAAAAATGAATAATTTACTGAAGGAAGAGGGGTAGTCTTTCTGTTCTTGCCCATTCCAACATGCTGTCACGTTCTGCATCTGTGGGACCATACTGAAAAACTGGACTGTTTGATGATAATTCTGATGTAAGTTCACGGCGTTGACTTTCTATCTTGTCAAAAGCACCAGTTAATCTGTTGTACACCAACGCCTGAGGGAAAACCTACAGAAACAAAATCATATTTACACTTAATAATTTTCATCTTGTGGAGAACAGAAGGACTAAACTATGATGACAGAATCGCTAATGTGAAAATTTTATGAAAAGAAATGTGAACAAAAAAATCTTTTGGCACTGCTTACAACACTCATGGAGAAAACCTGCTAAAAGTGTAACTAGAACGTACATTCTCTGAAACCCATATGGCACAAGGAAATTAGGAAGAAGAAAATTAGAGACAGAAATGAAAAGTATGAGGAGCAGAAGGCGGACCTGAGGTGAGTGCATTGACAGTCTCTGCTCCCCTGAGGGATAAAATGCAGAAGAAGAAGAAGAAGAAGAAGAAGAAGAAGAAGAAGAAGAAGAAGAAGAAGAAGAAGAAGAAGAAGAAGAAGAAGAAGAAGAAGAAGAAGAAGAGAAGAGGAAGAAAAAAGAAAAAGAAGAAGAAGAAGAAGAAGAAGAAGAAGAAGAAGAAGAAGAAGAAGAAGAAGAAGAAGAAGAAGAAGAAGAAGAAGAAGAAGAAGAAGAAGAAGAAGAAGAAGAAGAAGAAGAAGAAGAAGAAGAAGAAGAAGAAGAAGAAGAAGAAGAAGAAAAAGAAGAAGAAAGCCTTTTTTTTACAGTGATGATTGTGATGCTAATGATGCTATTCTTCTTCTACTTTAGCAATAACTCATTTTAAAAAAAGCTGTTAGCATGCTTTATTATTATTTAGAGCTAAGGTGCAATTTCTGCACTTTCTGTACAAACAGATCCAATTTCAGCAATTCTTTAACTATTTTGATACCAAGAAACTCACCAAATATATCATTATGGTATGAGGAGAATGGCACTGCTGGGAGTTACCAGGGGATCTGGCTGACGCTCAACACTCAAGGGAGAGGCAAGATGGATACACAATCAGACAGTTCCTGGCGCCATCAGAACTGCAGAACTGAAACTCTTTACTTGCTGCTGAAAATAGGGATGGAGCACCTATGGAAGTGTCCCAAGTGCTGTGATATCGATTCTTAATTCAACATTTAAGGAACTCACCATGCGTTTGTTGATATCTACTCACATATTCTACTTTTCCTAATTTCTTGCTCCCAGTCTAGTCAATACATGAACCTACTCTACCTTATTAGTTACTTTTAAACCTTACTGTTTCATACGCTTTTAATTTCAACTCTCCAGGTTCAGACACATATCATTAAAAGCAGTGATTTCTTAAGACAGAATGAGTTGAAGCCTAGGACTAAAAGGGTTAAGCAGTCAAAATTAACAACATGCTTGTTAAATTGAGCTGAATCAATCCTCCCCTCTCCCTTCCTCCTTTTCTTTTTACCACTTCCAAATGGGGTTCAGGAACCCACACAAGAAATAACAATGAAGACAACAAAGATAACAATGTCGATAAGGATGATAACATGACAATGATAATTATTTTACGATAACTGAGTAAACTTACCGGCAATGTCAGAAAACAATTAAAATAATCCAAAAACCAGTCATCATAAGCCAGAAGATCTTCCAAGTTGTCCCCTGTTATCTCTATAGCTGGAAATAAATGGAAAGATTGCACAAGTAATATCAGAAATCCCCCGTGTGGGTTCCGGGGCCCTACTATGGGAAAAATAGGAATAGACCCACTGACTACCAAAAAGCATGTCGTAAGAGTCGACTAATTGAGAGGCAAGGAACCAACAGTCTGCATACAGATCTGTCAAACGGATACACACGCAACACTCAGGTTCTGGGACAGGACTGCAGTCCAGAAGTGGATAAGCAACCATAACTTTCCGCCGGAGTTTACAGCCGGTGAACGCGAAGAAGAAGAAGATAGAAATAACTACAAACATAACTGATGATTAAATATGTAACATGATAATACTTTTCTTCTTTGTGTTCACCGACTGAAAACTCTGGAGGAAAGTTTTGGTTGTTCGTCCACTTCTGGACTTTAGTCTTGTTTCTATACTGAAGTTGTTTTTTTCTGCACATCCATTTTTACAGATCTGACTTATTTTGTAAGCAGACTTTTGGTTCCTCACCTCTCTTAGCTTCTTTCCCAATAAGGGATGTAATATTTGATTACTTCAAAGTCCCACCCTGGCTGTTGTCGGGGGCCAGGCCATAATATAATCTTACAGGTGGCCCAGGTGATCTTCATCTGAATGGTGGCACTTTGTGTCATCGGTGTTTGTTTCTCATTGTGCGTTCCTGGTGGGGTTGAACGTCACTCACTTATTCCTCAATTCAATCAGATTCATTCCGACTTTGAAGGAACACCCTTAATTAGTAGACTGTTAGGACATGCTTGTTAGGGGGTGGGGGCAGTGGGTCTCCCCCACCCTCAAGGGGCGCCATAACCCACAAAGAAAACATGGTAACACAATTTTCAAGGTGTACAGAATATGATTTAACTTCAGGTCTAGTTGCCAAAATCCATGCAAGTTAATTACAGAATATGGACCATGTGTCAGAAGATAAATAAATAGGAGACCAAACAGATTAAACAATTTTGTGACAGCGATAAGAGTGGGAGAGAGAAAGAGAGAGCAGGAGAGAGAGAAAGGGAAATCAAGACTGTGAAAAATGCAAACAGAAAGGTATGAAGGCAGGCAGAGAGTGACAAACAGATAAATAGAAAAAAAGTATAAGATACACTGTTTTAATTCTTCTTTTTCTGTACGTTATTTCCAATGGTAGACCCTGAACCACCTCACACAAAGAAGACCCGAACCACCTCATACAAAGAAGTAATAACTTTTGCTAACCCCTACAGGTGTTTCCATATATATTATTCACCTCTGTTTCTCATTCTCCATTTCCAATGTATTTTCTCTCTTCCTCTATTTCTTTTGCTTTGTGGGATCCAGAGGAAGAACTTTCTTGTGATGACCTATTCACACTTCTGCATTGTTTACTTAATCCCAAAGAGTTGACCACATCTACTGAGTTATGCAGTTTATCGTCAAGTACTGCAGAACCAGCAAATCTATCTTCAAGTTAATTGTCAAACACACCAGCATTCCTGGAGAAAAGATCCAAAGAATCTTAAGAGTTGAAACTCAGTCCATTAACTCTTTGAGTCCCAAGGAACCCATCATACGTTCATAGGTTACTGCCTAGAAGCCCAATAAACGCATGATGCGCCGATTTTACGTCTCTTTTGACTACCTCTTGGGCCTGTGATGCTATACCCTCTGGGACTCAAAGAGTTAGTGAAAATACTTTATAGGAGGGAATAGTGAAATGAAGACAACAAGAAAGTATTCCTAGCAACAATTCCTCAGGGCATGGGAAAATGTTAGCACATCAGTTGATGCACTCCGCCGGAGATCGTGAGATGCTATGAAGCATGATCGCCCATACCAGCTGGCAATAAAAACCATGGTATTTATGATCATTTAAAAAATATATATACTCAACCCCATATATGGTGCAGAAACCTAGGCAATGAGCTTGCAATCAGAAAATTTTGTACTTTATTTTTAATTCACCCTACTCTAAATCTAACCCCAACCCATGACACCCCCAGAATATTGGACTTTGCTGGAAACTCCAGAATTTCCTTTATTTTGTACAGAAGAATAGGTTGTAATCCAGGAAACAAAAACACAGAGGTTTTGAAGATCCTAGTAATAAAATAACTTTGCTGAAATAAATAAGAAAATTTTGAAGAGGTGAAATACTTCGGCCACATTAAAAGACATAAGGCTCTTATTGTAGAAAAAGCTAAAGAAGGCAAGCAATTGGTAAACAGTGATACAAATAGAAGGATAACATCAAGATATGGCCGAACAGAGCATGTTGGGCTTCCACTGTAGCACCTCTTCATCTGGCTAGTGTTATTAATTTCCCTTTTAGTTTTCTTGGTTATTAAATTTCAATTTCCATCTAATCCATTCCTAAATAAAGGTGCGAACTTTTAACTTATAATGTTATTAAATTAATGAATAATCAAGGTCTGAGAAGAATGGCACTGCCTGTTTACAAGGGGATCTGGCTGACGCTGGCCACTCAGGGGAAAGGCAAGACAATCAGACGGTTACTGGTAACATCGGAATTGTAACTCTTCGCTTGCTGCTGAAGATGGGGACGGAGCACTTATGGGGGTGTCCCGAGTGCTGTGATGTGGATTCTTAATTCAACACTAATACTAATGATTGAAGCACAATGAAATATATAAAGACTTTACTAAATTATACACTATCACGGGAAAATCTTAATCTCAACAATAATCTGAGAGATTAATTACTCATTGATATAATATTGAATATGTCGTGATCTATCATTTAATCATTTCATTTATAATTATAATAATATTTATATAATAATAATCTAATAATCAGCTTATTTTTTCTCACCTCCTTTCGATTTTATCACACTAAGATCTTCACTTGCAAGCTTTAATCGCGATACTTCATTCATGATCGCCTATTTATGTTTCTAAATGAGGATATTAGCCGTTGGCAACTCTTTAAGTTCCTAGCTCTGGGCGACAGCTGAAACTTTCTAGGCGACAAAGATTAAAAGATTATTGATGGACGCGTTGCTAGGTTTCTATGGCCGCCATTATGGTAATCGGATTGGGCAAAAATGGAAGCCGGCCAATTTAAAACAGTTTATACATGGCCTGGTCTGTGTATCTTCAATAGTTGAGCGGGGTTTAATTTGCGACCACTTTCCCCGACGTTTGGTAACACAGACATTTTCATTATTGACGTGAAATCAGCTCAATCGTTAGCTCATCATCATCAAGTGCCGTGTCGAGTGGCGTAGCTAATAGTAATAATACCTCTCCGTAATCTGCGATCTTCAACAGCATGCATCAGTTTTTGTGCTGTCACCCCCCCCCCCTCCCCTCTTCCCCACCACTTCCATGCCATTACAAAAGGCTGTTAATAATCTTTTCGAGTTGTCTTTCACCATCTCTTTCCCCCTCAGATATAAGACGTGGTCACCACATGTTCTAGTTACTTTCTTTTCATAATAAGACCAAAATAATGGTTCTTTCTGATGTTCGTGATAAATTGTTTTCTAGCCCTTGCTTTTTGCAAAATGGGTCTACGGCTGGCTGACAGGTTCAAACATCTTTTGGATGTGCAAAATGGTGCTCTGACCAGTACCGTTGCACTTTAATTTCCAGGATTACCAAGGTGTCCTCGAATTGGAGGTGACAGCCATTTAATCTCTTGGGAATCGCTTTATTTATACTGTGGACACTTTTACACCCTCCGGACTGAATTGTAAACAGTTTCATTTAAACTCCTAGGGGATTCGTAATCGTAGAACCCAAACAAAAATGTCAAATTTGATCCTCTTTCAGCTGCCCGAAGGCCTGCTTTATTGAATACCGTTTCTTTGCTATCTGATTCAATTCGATTCGTTGTGACGATCATTTTCGCCTAAGTTAGGGTATTTGCTGCTGGGTTATGTCTGCTCGATCAGGCTTGGTGGGCGTATTCCGTTTTTTTTTTTTTTTGGGGGGGGGGGGGGGTGGGATTTGGCAGCCCTAAAAAGATCTGCCATTTTTGCTTGGGGCGGCCTGGAACGGGAATGGACGGAGTCTCATCGTGGCTGGCTTCTGCTATCAGGTCTGGCGCATCGTATGGTGAGCTGTCCGTTAAGATGGCGGCTTGTTTAGTGGGCTATCTTTTGTGGTTTTAGAACTGGCGATAACCTCTTCTGTTGGGCGTGCCATGTTTCCTTTGTTTTTGCCTTGCCGCACGCAGTTAATTGAGGGCTGCGTTGAGCTCATCGTGAAATCTGTCAACTTGTTGGCGCTTTTCTGTGTCCTCGGGTGATGGGTCTTTCTTTTCGAGCTCCTCCCAGTCGTAGTTGATCACATAGCGGCTGCCGTCTTCTTCCATCCCTAGCTGGTGCGGGTGTACTTGTGTGTTAAAGTCTTCAAGCATCGCTTGGAGGTCGGCCTCGCAGATTGCCCTATCGGTTGCCGCTGTCTTGACTTTTTTCACTGGTTGTGGCAAAATCCTGGTTTTCGCTTTAAATGGACGGCTGCCTGGCAGCCTCCTTTTTGGAACTATCTTTCTCTTTAATCTTGTGTCTTGTCTGTGTCATATCTGTCTGCAGCTTTGGGGTGGCCTTCTTAAGTAGTGTCACATCAGTAGAGAGTAGTTCCTGGCTGGCTGTGGTTGCCTTGTGATTGTTCTGCTCTTCTTCGTCTGCCTTCTCTTTTTGGGTCTGGATACATGACAGCACGGCCTTGATATCTGACTTTAATTGAGTTATGTCGGCGATATCTACCTACATACGTTTCTGGGTCTTGATTAAGTCCTGGATTAGGCTTCGTAGTCCTGTCATCTCCTCTCTTTTCTCAGCTCGCTTGACTTCTGATGCTGCTTTTTCTCTTCTGAATGACTCAATTTCGGCTTTCATTTGGGTTAATTCGTGCTGAAGCTTTGTTATTTCTGCTGCAGCGACTGGAGGTTGGGCTATTCTGGGTACCTTGTACCTCTTTCTGTCTTCTGGTGGAGCGATCCTGGTGACGGCGGTGATCATACTTCTCTTGATCCCCTTCAGGTAGGGCATCCAAGGTACCTAGCGCTGTGTCCCCCTGAGCAACTGGCGCACTTTCTACTGGGGTTAGGCTTTTTGAAGTCTGGATCGACTTTTGCAAGAAGACACTCCTTGAAGTCATGTGGGCCAGAGCAGTAGCGCCACAATGGGCTGCTGCGGCAGGTCATAGCAGTGTGTTACGCCCTGTTGCAGCGTGAGCACTGAATGATGTCTCCGTGTAAGCTCCAGGCTGCTGCTTTTGGTAGACGGGTGAGGAGGGTCCCTGCGCCACGACTGGGTGGCTTTTGGTGTTGGCGACATGGTAGGGCGGCTTCTGGTGCTGGCGCCACGATGGGGCGGCTTTTAATGTAGACATCCCTCTGTTAGGTGAGGGAGGCGCTACGACAGGGGCACCTTTCTTCGATGCTGGTGGAGAAACAACACTGGCGTCCACGTGGCTGTGGTCAAGCTTGACCGGCATCTTCTTAGGTTTGGATGCGGCGGCTTGAACCTTTTTTTTTTCTTTTTTTTTTTTCCCATGTTAGAAAAGAATGCTGTGAATGGCGGTAAATAGAACTGTATACCGCAACTACAAAGGGCCTGAAATCCTTAGAAGGACAGTCGAGTTATTGTGTTGCGGTAATCTGGCAAATTTCTACGGCTGGTAAACAGGCTGCTGAAACCCAAACGTAGCGCCGACCAAGGTAGCTAGTCAAGATTGTGATGATGTCCTAGGGGATTGAGCTGCCCTCACATTTGTATCTCAAACCCCCTAGTTATGGCCCCTGGTACTCTACAGGAGATATTTGTTCCCCTAGCTCACGCGTGCCCACAGTCGGCTAAGAAATCATCGACCCAGCTGCTTCGAGATACCAGCTAAGTGATTTTGTGTATTTGTGTGGTTTTGTTTGATTTGTATGTGCTGATGAAGGCTCCATAGCCGCATCGTTCTCGTTTCGTTTGTATTTGTTATATTGTGAAACTTGCTAATATACTTTTCGTTCGGGTTTATATCTTTTCAAAACATATGGGTTGCTTTTTTTTTTTGGGGGGGGGGGGGGGGGAGGGGGGGGGGGGGGGGGGGGTCTAAGGATTCTTCTTCTTCTATAAAACCACATTTCCGAGCCTCAAGAAATTGTAATTGCCTTGCCCGCAAGATTAATCTGCTCATAGAAACAGCAATGGTAACTGAAACAGGAAAGTAGTAGTTGTTGTTGTGTTTGGCCGGTGGTTACAGCGTCGGGCTGTCATGCTGGAGAACCGGGTTCGACCACCCAGTAAGGTGATGGAGTTTTTTTGTCGGGGGCACAATTATACATCCTAACCTGCATAGTCAGTCAGCACTAGTCATGCGGCTTCTCTGGCTCACGACCCCCTGACCTAGTGTGACGTAACGGCCGTGGATTTAATGATTTAAATGCTGAGTAGGGATTTTCCTCTCATCACATCCCCTCCACCACATTAACTAGACTAATATCCGAGCCATGTTGCTTTCAGACAAAGTCCTGGATATCCCAGAAAACAGCCATTTTGGCTCGTTGATTACTTTAACATTAGCTGCACTTGGTACCCACAGAAGAAGAAAAGGAGTTTTAGATGTCTATATCATTATACTGAATGAATTATTAGACAGGGCAAACGGCTCCTCTCGTCCAACCTTCTCCCGTTATTTAATAATTACAGAATTATTATCCTTATTTTTTGAGCCACCACCAAATGTAATTCTATCCTTCAGTTTAGTTAAACAGGTAAGACTGAATACACTTGGAATTTAACAAACGATGTAGTATAAAACTTGACGTACAGCTTTATTTACTAACAATTAGTTCAATGCCATTCCCAGTTTGTTGTGTTTACACATACAGTGACTTGTTAATGTTATGATAGTGATGAGATGCTTTAGCAAGAAAACAGCTCCTGGGGTTAGAGTGGTATGATGATGATGATATGTTAACGAAACAGATGTTAACGTAACTTATAAAACCTCTGACAGCCGTGAGGCACTGTCAAGCTTGTCCACCTCTTCCAGCTTCTTCCCTGCCTGTTTTCCGCCTGTTTCAGCTTATTCTCCACCTGTTTCCCGCCTGTTTCCAGCCTGTCGATCTCCAATTACATTGGTTCGTACATACGACGTTAGTTCTATCAGAGCAGACGTCTCACATAGACGGGAGCTGTGAAACAAACACATATGTGTAGTATCTATACTTACACTAAAAATGCATATATGAATACAATATATCTATATATATATATATATATATATATATATATATATATATATATATATATATATATATATATATATATATATATACATATATGTATAGACATAACATCTCTTCTCAATCTTCCACATTCTCTCTAGTCTAGTCTGAAGGTCTTATGTCTTACTGGACGTCACATATCCTGCCTTCCCTCTCATGTACTGTCAAAAATAGTTGACTTCCTAGGTCTGCTGTCCGTCTTCACTCAGACTTCCAAACATTATTTTTACATGAACACGTGGAGCAGGTTATGTGCTGAAAACTCCAACCATTTTATATGTGCATGTTGTCTGGAATATTGTCTTTCCAGTGAGCACATGGTGAGCTATTAAAACTCTGCGCATATAGGCATGATTTTCCCACAGTCCAAGCACATGTTTTGGGTTGATAATGTAAACCATATAATTACATTTCATTATAGCAAATGTTATTGTTCACATCTTATTTTATACACATGAAAACATACACTGAAAAACATGTGACACAAACATACAAGAAATAGGAATAGTTTAGCAGTTCCCTAACTGAGATACTAAATACTCACAAAGAACTATTTCAAGCATAATGTGTAGACAAATTAGGACAGGAAGTATAGACTAAGCTAGCTCCTAACCTATGAATATAAGATTAAAAGTAATATTTACTCATACCTGGAAACTTTCCAGCAATCGCCAAACCAGAATAAAACAATCAGAATTACCTCTAATGTCGATCTATGTTTGTGACTTTTCTGGCGGCACTATGAGGTAAATTTCTGAAGCTACTAGCATAAGTATCTATCTATTGTCCAAATTAAACTCCTCCCCTTTCTAGGTTCTACTGGAGAAGATCTAAGCCACGCCCCAGAAGTACCTTGCAAATCAAATTAGCTAACAAGTGGCCTGTCACTCAAAGTGAACGGCCTTGACCAATGTTTCGACATTCTTAATTGGCAAACAACTGTTCTCCTGAGAATTTCACTGACATGTGTGAAACTCCAGCCACTGGACGCCGTCAGGTCCACCAGTCCACTTAATTCCCCTGATCTAGTCTGTTCAAAAGGCCCCACTCAGTCTGTGTTATGTCACATTTCTGACACTAAGGTTCAGCTCAGGGGAGATAATCTCAGGTGTGATAATTGGTTCCCCGTTTGCTGGCCCTGACAGACTGTGGTCAGGAGATAACATTTTGACACTGGCACATAAAACGAATTCCTAGCGCAGGTAAAGTTAAGTAATATTACACAAGGCCCAGTTGCTTTGTCTGGACTACGGACTGGTAACAATTAAATCCCTGAGGTTTTAATAATATTTGGGTTAAGGGCATAGTAAATAGATATCTTTGTCTCTCCATAAACAGAAGAAATTATTCCACGTACTAACTTCTGAAACCACTGAGATCGTTTCGTGACACCTAGACAGGTGGTATGTTTTACCAACAGTAGTGACATTTTTTAAGTTCATGTGGTGCTGGTGGTTGTTGTAGTAGTAGTACTGGTACTTGGTGGGTCAGGTGGTGAAAATTACACTGAACGATTTACTTCTAATTACAATTCCTGCTACCCATTTTAGTCTTAGTGGCCAATTTCAATTTAAAAAAATATGTGAGGAAAGAGGATTAGTCGGTGGACTGGGGGTGGGGGGAAGGGGGGGGGGGTGTGTGTGGAGGTAGGATGACAAAAACTATAAACTGAGAGCTTAAAACATAACATGATTTTACAGTTTTTTTTAAATTATTGTTATTTTTTTAAATAATTTATTTAATAACGCTACCTCAGCTATTCTCATTTTTTTTTTTTGGGTGCGAATTTGTTGGTTTTTCAGACTAACAGTAGCAAACTTTACTTCGAGCTCTTTAAAAAATACAAAAAGCTTTAGCTTGGAATAAATAAATAACCATTTTTTAAAGACTTAATAATACATTTTAAACAACTATTATTATAAGGACACAATTTTATGTTGCGTGTTCTAGAGTCGGCAAACGAGACTATTTGCATAGACAATGATTGTGACGTTTTCTATTTTCTTTCTTTACCATATAGCCAGACTGTGCCACAGCAACGCGTGGTCTGGTACTGCTAGTTGGGATAAGTAGTGCTAACTGAGTTCTAGAGCATATATTTGTTATTTTAAATGTATCATGTAATTTGTTTTGTTTCACATTTTGCTTTGATTTGGGTTGTGATTATGATAGAAATTGCATTATGAATAATTAGACAATTACACGGTAAATATTTTGTTTGCTTAGTGCTGCCATTGATTATTCTGCTCGATTATATAAAAATAATGAAGATTAATATTGGCATTTGAACTGAAATAATATAAAAGAGATTCTCAAAATACCATGGACCAAGAAGAAAAGAAATACTGACATTCTAAATGATTCGAAAATCTTGTCTTGGAAACTGAAATATATTGGTCATATCAAGTGCCACCTTGACTGGATAGAACAG